CTCTCTCTCTCCTTCCTTCCTTCCTTCCTTCCTTCCTTCCTTCCCTCCTTCCTTCCTTCCCCCTTCAATCTCCTTTCTTTTCCGTCTCCTTCTTTTCCCCTTCAATCTTCCTTCCTTCCATCTCCATCTCCATCCCTTCCCCTTCAATCTCTCTCTCCTTCCTTTCTTCCTTCCCTTCCCTTCAATCTCCTTCCTTCTCCATCTCCTTCCTTTTCCCTTCAATCTTCCTTCCTTCCATCTCCATCCCTTCTCCTTCAATCTCTCTCTCCTTCCTTCCTTCCTTCCTTCCTTCCTTCCTTCCTTCCTTCCTTCCTTCCTTCCCTCTTCAATCTCCTTCCTTCTCCAACTCCTTTCTTTCCCCTTCAATCTTCCTTCCTTCCTTCCTTCCTTCCTTCCTTCCTTCCTTCCTTCCTTCCTTCCATCTATCTCCATCTCCATCCTTTCCCCTTCAATTTCTTTCTCCTTCCTTCCTTCCTTCCTTTCCCCTTCAATCTCCTTCCTTCTCCATCTCCTTCCTTTCCCCTTCAATCTTCCTTCCTCCTTCCTTCCCCTTCCCTCCCTCCCAACATTTTTGAGCAAGGAAGAGTAAGCTTCTCCAGCGAGCATTGCTATATTGTTTTTGTGATTAATCACTATGCTTTAATTATGTTCAATTCGTAACAATGAAAATACACCCTGCATATCAGATATTTACATTACGATTCAAAACAGTAGCAAAATTACAGTTATGAAGTAGCAACGAAAATAATTTTATGGTTGGGGGTAACCACAACATGAGGAACTGTATTAAAGGGTCGCGGCATTAAGAAGGTTGAGAACTAGTGCTTTAAAGTCTTCTAATTGTACATGTATTTATACACTACCTAGGAAATTAGCAATACACGGATTGAACTTTTTACAGGACTTTTCGGCGCCACTAAAAGAGATTGCATTTGATAATTTTTGGATTGCTTTTGTAACTGCAGAGTCCCTCCATATGTGGCATTGATGCTGTTCTGGCACTGGCAGCATGTCCTGATGTTTCAAAAAAAAGCACAACACAACCCAAAATAAATAAACAACAACAACAAAAACACTCTGCAGCCCAGCCAGTTTTCTATCAGTTTGGCTGGGCACAACAGACATTCCTCTGCATTTGATCTGTGAAACCCAGTGCCTGGTGGGTAAGCTGCCTTCCTGTGTGGGGAAAATGTTTCTCCTTTTCCTCCTCCTCCTTCTTCCTGAATTCATCTCTAATACCAGATTTCTCCCAAGCAAACCTATCTGCAGAGTGACCTGCTAATTATCTAGAGCAGTGATGGCGAACCTTTTAGAGACCGAGTGCCCAAACTGCAATCCAAAACCCACTTATGTATCATCGGGTGCCAGGTGGGCATGGTCCATTGGGTGGGTGTGGCCCATTGGGTGGGCAAGGCTGCGGTGGTAACATGTAATTATGTAATGTAGTAAGCTGAGAAGAGGAGTAACAGGACCAATAAACCCACAGGTTGCACAGAGATCAGATCTGTTTCTGTCTACAAAGTGCAAAGAGAAAAAATTAAGAAAATTAAAGGAACGTGGCCATTAATAAAACTGGGGAAGAAGAAAGAATCATATGAACATAAAGGACAGAGAGAGCAGAAAGCACAACTGAAGGTTACAGAGCATATTCCTGAATATCTATTGCCAGACAAAAAAACCTGTGACTGAACACAAGATCAAGAGGCAAGCTAAAAGTCGGAAATCAGGTTGCAAAGAGCGGGCAAAATTACAAGCAAAATCAAAATCCAAAATAGATTCAGAGGTCCAAGATAAAATCTGAGAGCTCATACAAATTGAAGTCAAGATTCTATCAATTAACTTTGTTTTAGCACTGAGGGCTGGAAATAGGTTTTTTAAAAAACAGAGCTCCTGAAACCCTCCCTGGCTTCCACTGCTGTAAATTAGGGGCAGAGCCTTTATTTAGAAGAAGTTAGCATGGAGCAAATACTAAGAGCTTGGATTGCAGTGGGGAGATCCAGGTTCCACTCTTGGCTATGGAAGCTCAAGTGGCGATCTGAAGCCAATCACTCTTTCTCTCAGCCCCACCTATTGTGTAGGGTTTTTGTGAGGAAATAAGGGACTGTGTACACCACTTGAGCCTTTGGGTGCAAGATAGGGTATAAATCCAGTAAATAGTAACTATTTCTCAGAAGAAGTATTTCATTACCAAGTCAAAACTAGCATTTAACAACCAACAGGTAGGTAATATTTTGGCCTCTTCTTCCAGTTCAATAAGGACCTTCAGCTTAGAGTAATTCAAATTCAAAGCTTTATCTTCAAAATGTAGCATACTTCGAAATCAATCAACAGTTACTGTAGAGCAGGGGTGTCAAACTCAATTTCATTGAGGACCGCATCAGCATTGCGGTTGCCCTTGGGGGGGCAGGTGGGTGTGGCCAGGGTGGGTGTGGCCTACTGGGTGGGCATGGATGAAGTAGGTGTGGCCTACTGGGTGGGCGTGACCAGCACTACATCGTTCGTGTCAAGGGTGCCTGTGGGGGCCTGGGCAGGAGTGGGACAGATCTGAGGGTCTTTGGCAGAAGGGGCTGGGACAGGGGCAAGTGCCAAGGCATGGTGCATTTCTTCATTCCTCACAAAGGGTGACACCTCCCAAGCATGCACCCAGGGGGTGGGGCCGACATGGCAGGGGCTGGTTCCTCGCTGTTTCTGGACGGCCTTGTGGAGCTAAGACTGAATGCGTTTCAGCATAGATGACCACCACAAAATTGTATATTGGCTCCCGGCTGGACTGGGCCAGGGCCATGGTAACAGGGGCCGTTCCCTCACTGTTTCCAGGATGGCTTCGCGGGCCACATGAAACCACTTCACAGGCCGCATCCGGCCCCCGGGCCTTGTGTTTGACATGTCTGCTGTAGAGTCTCTGAGTCTGAATGTATGGACTCATTCTTCAGCAAGAGGAAAGAAGGAAGATCCAGCAAATTACAGACCAGTTAGCAGGGATTAATACCTCAGAAAAATCTACATCATATCATTTAGATATGAATCTTAAAGCACTTTAGAAACAATAAACTAAGAAGTCAGCATGGATTTCTCATGAACAATTCTTGTCTGACTAGCCTTATCTATTTCTTTTTTAAAAATTGGATACTTTTTGAGTGTGGGAACGCAATAGGCACAACTGTAACTTGATTTCAGCAAAGCATTTGATAAAATACCCCATGGCATGAGTAAAGTAAAGCAAGTAAAATGTGGGCTGGATAGCATGATAATTAAGTGGATCCAAAATGGCTCAACAAGCATATTCAGTGTACTCATCTATGATTACTTTCCAATAGACTTATAATTTAATATATGTTTAAAAGAAATACTGTACAATTTAATTCATAAATCACAGGAATTTCAACTATTTTGGCTAGCCTCCTTAAGTATTGTGTTCATTTCTGGGCACTATATTTGGAGAAATTGGAACAGGCTCAGAGAAAGGCAATAAAGATGATCAGATGACTAGAATTGAACTCCCATGAGGAAAGATTGTTCAAATACCTGGAGGGATGTCACTTAAAAGAAGAACTCTTTGGTTCTAGAGCACAGATAGATTCAAGTTATAGGAAGCTCCATTTTGACTGAATATTTAAAAAAAATAATCCTAAGAATTGCCAAAGAAGGGGCTGAAGAGATTTCTTAACCTGGTTTCATCCCTATCTGCTAGATGTAGTCTACACAGTGGAAAAGCACTAAAACTAGACCACAAAGCCAGATTCAACATTGGCCAAGTGGTTGAAACTGCATCGCCATACCATTTTCATTTTTCCTAGCTTCATAGCTGAACCAGTTAGGTACTGGCTTGGGAGCACATTGTCCATGAAGCAACAAAGCAACAGCCTTCTCCTTGCTACCTTAGAAAAGTCATCCTACATTTTAAAATAGCACAATATTAACTCACTGGACAGCATAGCACTGGCAGATGTGCAGGCAGAGTGCTTTGTAATAGGTGGACTAACAGCAGTAAGGAAAAAGTGACAGTGACACGGGAGGGATTAGTGGATTAATTTGGTTAATCTAATAGACAGTTGTGAACAAAAAGGGAGTTCCTATACAATCAGCCCCTCAGGGTCTCTATTTGAAATTTGCCATGCATGTTCCTAACAAGGTAAACCTTCTCCCTTTTCAATGTAATCATATTCCATCTCAAAACAAAAAAGTAAAAATGTTACTTGAATTTAAACTTGAAAAAGAGAGAGATTTCTTTAAAAACTTTAGGCTTGATCATTGGAAGGCAGATTTTTGATCTTTCCCAACTTGCTATTGAACTGGGAAATGAGTAGAAATTAATTATTTCCAGAGCAACTTAGATCAGATAGACTGTTTCCAAAGTTCTGGATCCATCCTTGTGAAACATTCAACAGGCTTTGCACAACCCAATTCCAAACTATACGTATCAAAATGATACAAGTTTCCAAAGACAAAATAGAGTGCTAACTGTCAATAGATATTATTCATTTACTTTAAAATAATACAATAGATCCAATACATTCTTTTGTTGCTGGAAACCCCTTCCTTCCTTCCTTCCTTCCTTCCTTCCTTCCTTCCTTCCTTCCTTCCTTCCTTCCTTCCTTCCTTCCTTCCTTCCTTCCTTCCTTCCTTCTTGCATTCTACCAATTGTTGTTTTGCAAGAGTGACAAAGAAAAATCAAAATTTACCAAAGGTGACATTTATGTGGTGTTTATCAGCAAAATACCTACTTTTTGACTGAGTGAGGGATTTGTAGGAATAGTTTGCAATCTAGATCCACATTAAATTATGGATAAAATTATTATTCCAATATAAATGAACTCATGCCCTGACTAGAGTTAACTATCCTCCAACTTCTGATCCTATTCTGGCCAAATAAGTTAATTAAGGAAACAACAAATAAGTAATTTTAAAAACAGATGAATTTTGAGCATTTCTAGATTGATAATTAGTAAATAATTAATAATTATGTTTTGGATGATTCCTGGTTCTCCAATGTAACTTACCCACACCACTGGTCTCCACATCTGACTCCCAAATGATTTGAACGTCCCCAGTTCGATGTACTTTCACCAGTCGGACACGATACTGCTTGCCTGGCTGCAAATCTGGAATGCTGTATGAGCCCTGGCCAGATCTGGCCTTTCCTACATCATGCCACTGTCCTTTGTCTGTTTGAAATAGAGACAGAAAGATTGTGGCTGAGTTCCCCAGAACCAGAAGAATGTGTTGCCTTTGATTTTACTCTAGTGGGAATCCAGACAGGTGTAATTTATTATTGTCATGGATTAACACCCCATTCTTCATTATTTTTCACCGACCAGTAGCTGATGGAAGGTGGACTTTGCTATGGATTCCCGCTGATTGAAAATCACTTATTTCCTCATAAGGAAACTAGAAATTTACAAAAAGAGGCCTTCAAAAGGAAGAAACTTGACCTCTTCCAGCCGGCAGCCACTTACACACCACTGATTTCACAATATATAAAATTAGCAATTTCAATAAATCTAATGGCCAGGCAGAGAGAATTCCTCATCGCTCCCAGATGATTGGAAAGAGGGAAGAAAAGAACAATAAGAAGAGACCTGATGGATCAGGTCATAGATCCATTTAGTCCAGCATTTAATGCTGGAATGAAAGATTTGGAAAGCTCACACATTTGAAGACCTGAATAGAATAAAAAGTCAGTCTCAGTCTCAGTCTCTCTTTCTCTCTCTCTCTCTCTCTCTCTCTCTCTCTCTCTCTCTCTCTCTCTCTCTCTCTCTCTCTCTCTCTCTCTCTCTCTCTCTCTCTCTCTGCTTATGCACATGAAGCAACAGTGAATGCAAGGTGAAATGGGTGAGGAAGAGAGTGGTAGAAAGTATATGGTATGAGATGTTATAGTGAAAGAGGATTTTGTAGGGAGCATGCATATATGAACAAGTATAGCTCCTAAGCCAACAATGAGTGATCTACAGAACTTTTCATCCTAAAAGATGCTTACCCATGGCTGAGGTAGCAGCATGAAGACTATACAAGAAAGAGGACATCTCTTACCTGTTTTGCTCATAAGATGGACTGCAAACTCCATATCTCGCTGGTTCTGACGTGGGATCCAGATGATGGTGGTGAAGTTTTCTCCTGTCTCGCCCAAACTGATGTTTACAAAAGACAAGTTCACTGGGCATAGAGGCAGGGAGAAAATGAGAGAGAAAAGTATTAATATCACTATGTCTTCACTGGAGAATCTACAAGTCCCACCACTGTAGGCTTCAGAGCAAACAGCAAGGTCATTAAGACCTCAGAAAAACTGCCAGATTAACAATATTTTCACTGCGGGAATTGGGACATACTAATCTAATTTCTGTGGCAGCAATATAAAACTAGTTGGCCAATGCAGCCCGTGGCCTATCAGGTTCTGTGGTAGTTTCTCATTCGTGCCTGCCTCTGCTTAGTTTCTCAGGCCAGACAAAATCAGGCATCTGGGGGGGGGGGGAAATCCCTGGAAAGGAGCTTTTTAAAAGTAAAGAAGCCGAGATCAAAAAAAGGACTCCCCCACCCTGAAGGAGCTGCTGTGGCGCAGCTGCAACTGCACAAAAGAGTCCCTCTGAATATTAATATTTTAGCTAAAAAAAATCAGGGGTTTTACATTGGGTGTGTCTAATGGTTACTCTCTCCATAAGTTCCAACTATGTTGCCAACACAACCTGATACCCGACTGCTGTAGTTTCTTGTTTTCAAATTGCTTTACACATGTGGACCATCCACTGTGACATCTGATACCTCAGTATCGTCAAGTTATCATGTTATTCCCTTTTGGGCGAGCAGCATTATGTATAGCACAGTAAAGGAATAAGTAATAGTAAAATAAAGAAATTAGAAGGTGAGATAAGGGAAAATATCAGGAAACATACCTACAATATCAAAACCATTCAACATATTTCTCCATATTTTTATATCAAGGTAAACCAATCCTACAATGTCCATACACTGCTTCACACATTGCCTATTCTTTATATGTGGCCCTCTCTCTTTTTCAACATCTCAACAACTCCATACAATCATGATTTTCTTGGTGTTCTTCTTCACCACTTCTCTCTTCCTAGATGTTGTTGTACAATTCAACACTCACTCCCTCTGCATGACCAAACCACCTAAAAGTCTGTACTGTCATTTTATTTTGAATTCCATCCACATTCTTTCACCACTCATTCATTCTTGGCCCTATCTCTTCTTATTTGACCACACACTAAGTAACGAATTCTATTGTATTCAATTTACTTTTGTGGAAAAAAAAGCAGCGCAGCAAACTGTCATGCTTCCCCCCCCCCACAAACCTCATAAACTTTTGATACCCTTTGTCCCTTTGTTCCCTCTTATCTCTTCCTGTCTTTGTTAGTTCCTTCTGCTTTTCATCTCCCTGTATTTGTTTTTACCTGGTCTCTGAACAGGTAATATGTTACTAGAAAATAGTTGCTTATATGAAGGAATTTTCCAATGAAGAAACTTTATGTCAGCATCTCATAGTTAAACTTATGAATGTAAAATGTCAACATTTAATGTAAAAGCCTATGTATGTAAAAAGTATATAAAAACCAATAAACACACAGAGACTCTCAAGCTGTCTCAAGCTGTGACAAGCAGCTCTGCAGCAGCTTCAAATCTCTGCTCAAGACATGCCTGAGTCTTTTTCTTAGCATCTTTACAACTTTCATGCTTCTTTTGAATACCAGCTCTCGCTTCTGTATAACAAAGTAGGCAGAACACATTCAACGGTCATTTTTACAGCTGAAAGTAGGGCAAAATCAAGAAAGGCACAGGCTAATAGCGTAAACAATCTGAGTAGAGATGTAATCTATGGAAATCTCATGGACCAATTAGGGTTTACAGGAAGTCCTTGACTTATGAACACAACTGGGACCAGAATCTCCATCATCAGGGCAGTCATAAAGCGAATCATTACATGACTGGACTCAACTTTATGACCATTCTTAACATGGTTATTAAATGAATCACCATGATTGTTAAATGAACCATGCAGTCATTAAGCAAATCCAACGTCCTCAATGGGCCACAGGTCACAATTACAAAAGCACAGGATGCCACAAGTAGTGGTAAAGATGAGCTGGCTGCCAAGTGCCCAAAACTGTAATCACATGACTGCTGGAATAGTGTGATGGTTGTAAGTGCAAATAAAGGTCATACAGCCATGGATGTTCTGGAGGTGACTTCAGGTCAGTCACAGTCTCTCATCCCAGCCTACTTCACAGAGTTATTGTAGGTGAAAATTGAAATAGGGAGCATTATGTTTTCAACATGAGCTCCTGAGCAAACCAAACAGTAAATAGTAATAAAAAATAAGTATATTTAAGCTCAGCACACTAACCATGGTTTCTAGGTGAATGTTGTAGGAAATATCTTCTCTAAGATTAGCAGGAAATATTTTTTAAAGCTTCACATACCTGACTCATGCATTGTATATTCCTCAAGTAAGGATACTTCTCCTCGACCCTCTTTGGTTTCTGCCCACAAGGAGAATTTATAGGGAGTGTGGGGATCAAGGTCACTGAGATTGAGGCTTAACTGGGTGGCTGGGATATGGATGTTGCCAATGTCCATCTCTGTCTGATTGGCTAGGCACAAGACGGCAGAAGAGTAACAGGTTAATTATCAGAAAATAATGCCACTGTCATCCAACCTGCTGTCCATATGTGATGGGTTTCATTTCGCAGAACCTTGTCAGCTTGGAGAAGATGGGTATCATGCCAGAAAATGCAAATCCTGTTACTGAGTTGGCAATGCTCAACAAGCACAAAACAGATAAGAAGGAACCATGCATTAAGGTAGGGAAGATGGGAGAGATATTAAAAATGGAATTTGATTTCTAGCATATTGTGACAAGGATCAATGAATGTTAGCTAATGATTCTTGCCACCTATGCTAGAAATCAGATTCCATTTTTAATATGTCTCCCATCCTGAGTCTCTTTATGTCCTTTCAGATTCATCAGAAACATAATTATCTACCACTGAAACGAAAGAAATGGAAGAAAGATGTAAAAATTATGTGTAAATGTTTATAATAAACATTCTCCTTTTTCTTTTCTACTCTAAATTGTCCCTTCTAGAAGTAGTTATGACGCTGGGCACACATTCTTTTGTAAAACATGTCTTTGCTTTCAAAAAGGAACTTTTATTTGGATTGTGGCTATGGCTTTTCAACTGCAAGAAAAACAGTGAATCAGATAGAACTTCATGGCAAAGAAGATTTAGATCAGGAGAGTTTTCTCTCAGTTAAGCAGGTAGAACAAGCAACCTCACGCTGTATTTCAGAATTTCTGCATGATTTTATTTGGAAGTAAATTCACTGGGGCATAAACATAGTTTTATGGCTAATTAATTAGGATTTAGATTCATTGAATTCAGTGAAACACATTGCTGAGTAAACTAGCAGAGGATACAGCTGGAAACAACATATGATCTGTCTACAACCAACAATCCCATGACCAGTGACATCTAAAACAGAGATGACAATCCATGGCCCAGGTGTGCCTCCTAGCACTCCATCCATGGCTCAAGGATTCCCAAGATTGTACATGACCATTAGCGGTATAATATTCATTCAATATGAAGGGAAGTAGTTTTTAGGGTAGGAAGGGAAACACAAGGCTTCCATGATGCAGACATTCATTCCTATCCTTAAAGTCCCTCTCCAAGCCCCACTTTTTGGGAAAAATGGGGCAAAATATTTCAGCTCTTCTCTTTCCAGTAGCACCAGAAGGCCTTCTGCAGTCCACCAGTTGACCAGGAAGAGGAATTGCAGTTCTCATTGAGGAAAGGTTCCCTGCCACTGATCTAGATTTTCAGATGCCAAAAAGAGCCCCTGTGCCTTAGCAATGTGAAAGTATACCCACAAAAAGTCCACAGTAGAAAGAGGAGAGCATAAAACCCCACAAAATAATACAGAAGCCTTCAAAGTGTCACTCTCCAATTCTGCCCATCTAGAAAATGGGTACTTTCAATCCTGTACAAAAAAGAAAATGCATCATTGCATTATCAATTGAAATGCCCCAAGTTTTTGAAAAAAAAAAAAAGAGCAGATGAAAATCTTCAATCAAAACAGATCCCCCACCTGCAAACATCCAAAGAAAACATAAGGCAAAAATGCATAGGTAACCAATTTTTTAAATAATATGCAATGTGTAAACAGTTTTGGAGGATTAGTGTTGGGAATTTCCTTTCTTGAAGGATTTCCAGCTTGGATTTGTACATATGTTGAAACTTTTTTGGGGGGATATATTATTGATGAAATACCCCGTAGACAAGGCTAACAGGTGACCAAGACTCTTCCAGTGTTATAGGAGGTTGCATTGTATGGTTGTTAATTCTATTTCCTGTAAAGAAAATTGCACAATAGCAAAGAGGTGAATGTTTTAAAGAAGGAAGCAGGCACCATTCAGGGAGAAATGCAGAAATCTACCTGGGCAGGAAAAAGGAGACCAATAGTAATCTTGATAGGAATCTCTCAGAGTTCCTACTAAGAAGATGGAGGAAGACTAAGAAGGCCATTTCATCTGGTGAGCTGTACTTAAGAAACCAAACCCATTGACTAGTATTCTTTCCTACTGAGGTATATGGACAGCAATGGATAAACCAAAAGAAATTGAAACATATATCCAAGCACAGGAGACTCTGAATGAAGGAAGGAATTGGAGCCCCAAGTGATGTTTTAATCAATTCTTAGCAAAGGTCAGAACAACTGTAAAAGTAAATAACTGATTAAGTAGATGGCATCTTTTGGAAAGAGTTGGTCTTGCAGATGTAACATATATTGACATTTTGAATTCACTAGTGAAGAGGTGAAGTGAGCCTCATAGGTACTAGAAGAAAGACATTTGTCAAGATCCTAAGAAAATTGATCAATAATATTTTAATTTGACTTTTGGGGAAATGTCAGAAGTCCAAATCTAGTTGGCTGGGTCAGGGATATGAGGTAAGAGGATAAGTGAATGGTTCCCAGAAATGTCCCTGTGAATACACCAAACAATTACAGAAGAAGCAATACTGACAGGCTACAGTATTTATATGCACAGATTATGGGAAAGAAGTATTTGAAATCTTAATATGGAGTGGAATTATGATTATGGATATCATTTAAGTTCATAATTGAAATTTAATAACTGAATTGTAACCATCTGTCTCAAAAGGGGAGAACCAAAAGTAAGGGAAGAGAAAGAACTTTATATGTAAAGAATGTGATAGCAACATTTTCTGCCATTTTGAGATGGGAAACATATGAAAACTATAGTTGAAGATCTGAAATATGACTGTCTAAAAATATCCACACAATCCAATTTCACACAAATGTGACTTCATCCACTTTGGGACTCCCAGACATCAAAAAACATGAAGTCTGGCCTTTGGTTACCAAAAAGTATTCATCCCTGTAAAAAAGGATTCCTACCATATTCTTCTTGGAGTTGATAAAATAGAGATGGGATGCTCTTGGTAAGTGGATCTGCAACTGGTTGAACTGCCCTGGAACTGTTTGCAAGGGGAAATGGAGCAGAGGCCACAAAGTTCTACAATCTTCAACATTTTCATGAATAACCCCAATAAGGGTGTGGAAAAGCAAGTAGAATCTTTTTTTTAAATAAGCTGGGCCTTGGTGATTATGTTGATATATCAATTTCATGTTCTTGTCAACATGATGGAATTGATGGCCCTTTGCTGCCTTTTAGAATGTTTTGCTACCTTCATGTCTAGCTCAAAATTCTCAGAAGTTCTCTGTTATCTTCCATCCAAACAGTAACCAGATCAAAAGTATCAGTGTTCCCACCTAGTAACAACATTATAAAGGGAGTGATAGAGAGTTCCGAAAATGAAATATGGCCATAAGATTCTATAATGCTATGGAAGATGGAATCCAATTTTAAAAATTCTTAACAGGCTGAAATAGTGGGTTAAATCCTACACTACGTTCAGAAATAAAACTTAATTTAGGTACTATAACCTTGTAGAGAACTAACTTGGCAATATGTATGAAATGAATTAGATATCTTAGCAATTCACAGTATGATACAGTGGCTAATAACAGTAATCTGATCATAAGTTTTAATAGAAACATGGTGCCTGAATGTAATCATTTTAATTTCAAAAAGTTACGACCCATTCTGGTGTCACATATTTTACTAAGACATTGGTACATGGAAGCCAGCATGGTGAGGAGCCTGGAAACCAGTCTCTGCCTTGAAAAAATATTGAAAGAAGTGGTAAATTCAGCTTATATTGAAACACTGCTATCAAGGACGAGGGGGGACATGATAGCAGTGTTCCAATATCTCAGGGGCTGCCACAAAGAAGAGGGAGTCAAGCTATTCTCCAAAGTGCCTGAAGGCAGGACAAGAAGCAACGGATGGAAACTAATCAAGGAGAGGAGCAACCTAGAACTAAGGAGAAACTTCCTGACAGTTAGAACAATTAACCAATGGAACAACCTGCCTCCAGAAGCGGTGAATGCTCCAACTGGAAGTTTTTAAGAAGAGACTGGACAGCCATTTGTCTGAAATGGTGTAGGGTTCCTGCCTGAGCAGGGGGTTGGACTCGATGACCTCCAAGGTCCCTTCCAACTTTATTATTATTATTATTAAGACTGGGGGGAAATGTTAGGATTCTTGAAGTAATTGAAAGACTGAGGGCTGAATTATTCTGCAGAAGGTAGGATTACAACATCAGGTGGAACCCGTGGGAAAGCAAATTTCAGCAAAACATCAGGAAGTGTTTGATCTGAGAAGCAGTTGTTCTTCTTTGCTGGGGATTTTTAAGTACATGCCAGATAGTCATCTCACAAAGGTTCTCTAACTGCATCCTTTATTGCTGAACCTTGATCACCTTCAAAGGTCCTTTGATTCTATAGTTCTGATTATGCAACAGTAATAATCGTTCAAATAAAGTTGTGACAAGAACAGCAGCATCAAAAGCAACATACTTCAATACAAAATATGTGAGGGTTTTCCTCTCAGGTTCCCAGGATGCTGTGCTACAGGCCTCCCAAAAACCCAGACCTTCTACAGACTCACCTTGTTGGTATCCCAACACGTATCTCAGTAATCTCCCATTAGGGAATTTTGGAGGCATCCACTCTAGCAACACGGCTGTGTCCGAGAGGTAGTCCAACTGAAAGGATTCAGGGATGCTAGGTACTATGTAAGGAGGCAAAGAGAAATGGAGAGTGAAGGGCACAAGGAATGTAAATGGGAAGGAGAGGGTTATGAATGTGGGAAGAAAGCTGTAGTAGACAAGGCATGCTCCAGCTTTTGGGATTCTTCAAATACTTGGAGCAAAGTCCCATTAGCAAGAACAAGCCCATCATAACAAAAGATCTGTCTGCCATTAACAAAGCATTCATCGCATAATCCTTAACTTATATCTGTCTGTAACCTTAGTATTGCAACCAAAGGTGCAACAGAGCTCCTGATAGAATGAAATCACTGTTGTTATGAAGAGAAAATAAATTATCCTTCAGTACAATGGATGAGAAACTTCAAGTCCCAAAGACATGACTTGAGTCCTTTTTGCCTGCATTGCTGTACTGCAATTTTTCTGTCATGGTGAGTGTGGGAAATGGAGAGTTTGATGTCTCTTCTACTACGTGACCCAATACTACACTTACAAGAGCCTTTCATATGAACACAAATTGGGAGCATGTGCTGAGGATTGCCAGACCACAAAAAGCAAGGGGTCCTGAGTTCCAAAAATGAATTTCTATATCAGCTCAAGCCCAACGAAACATCTTACCCTTGAAACCAAGATCGTTTACTATAATCTTTTAAGATTTAAAAAAAAAAAAATTCCCATAGAGCAGTGTTTCTCAACTTTGGCAGCTTTAAATGCATGGAATTCTGGGAGTTAAAGTCCACAAATCTTCAATTTGTCAAGGTTGAGAAACACTGCCATAGAACTTTTGAGGAAGAGGTTGCCAGCCCAGTCTTCTCTCTAGCATTTGTTTTTAGTGGTTTGCATTTTATTGTTATGTTTTTAGAATTTGTGAATTTAGTATGAGTTTTAGATGTAGATCATCAAGAATTTATGACTGAGGCAGCTTATAAATGATGCTAACTAATGAGGCCTTCACTAAGTTTTAATAACATAAAGAAATACCTAATTTCCTCCAATCCAGAAAAATCCAGCTCTAGCAACATACTCAGATATACAGTAATATAATCTGCCCCCTTTCTACTATTACTCCTCCTATTGCACTGCTAACCTTCATGATATTCTTTTACAAACCTAAAAGATTGTCCACACCTACCATATCGTTATTTTTGTATAAAGTAATAGTAGCAATAAGAATAAGTTTCCCCCCTCAATATCTGCTTAATGCAAATTTTCACTTTTAAGACATGTTTAAAGATACTAGTTTCTACAAACTGATTAAGTGAATGGGCAAGGGAAGCTGTGGTTAATAGAGGCTCATTTTAATTTATTTATTTATTAGATTCCCACCTGTCCCCAAATTCAGATTTATGCTTCATACACTGCCTCATACATATTTTCTCATGAAGTTAAAATGTGATAAATGGGGTTGCCAAATAGGAAAACAGTAGAAAGTTGGACACCTTGGAATTTGTTTCATTTCAGAACATTTCATGCCTTTCAGACCTGGACCTGGTGTGTGAGCAAAGTATTTCTGTGCTTACAGCTTTCAACTCTTTTATACATTCTGTCCGATATTCTGCACATAATGCGAGGTCTGAATAAAGTAATATGGATGGAGAGAGCTTCTAGGAGTAGGAGCAGAAGTTGGAAAGAAGTTCAGAAGGTGCATAGAGGGAGGCACGGATTGAAAGATCTGAGAGTGAAAGACCGCCGGTTCTTACCTCCCTCAGGTGTAACAAACTCCATGGCCTCGCTGCGGGGCCCCTCCCCCCGCCCATTCAACACTGCCAGCTGAACCTGGTACCGGCTCCAGGGCCTGAGGCCCCCCAGTATGACTTCAGACACATTCCCCAAGATCAGCAGCTCCCCGTGGGAATGGAAGTGAAGATGGGCCTGTCGACGGCTACGTTCTGCCAGGGTTCCCAACCTGAAGTAATACACCTGGTGACGGTGGAATTTCAGAGAAAGAAAGAGAAAGAGGGAGAAATTATTTGCCCAGACTTCAAGACACCCACCAGCTAACTCGATATTGGCAAGTTTTTTTGAAAAATGCCTGTCATCATGAGTGGAATCGTTCACTCCTCCCCTCCAAAATGTGATGGAAGGGTGCCTGTGAGCATGTCAAGAATTATTTCTCCTTCTTAATTTGTATAAATAGAAGGCATACTATAGGCCAAAATGCTTTTCAGCATGTATCAAATGTTCCCTTCCTTGAAGGGCACCTTTAACAAGGAATTTCTCACAAAAAGCAGGGAAATGATACAAACAAAACATACAATTTTGGGGTTTACATTCAGTTGTAATTCTAGCCTGGTCAGTAAACTTCTGGCCGAATGGCAGTTCTATTCAGAGTCTTGCTGAAGTCCCACAGGCCAGTGTTTACCCTGAGTTTAAAAAACAAAAAATTAAAAAGCAATTCTGTAGCAAGTCAGTCTCAGTTCTGTACCATAAACATCCACATCTTGTAACCTGCATGGATGTATTATATCTGAGGACTTTCCACTGTTCCTCTTACGTGGTGAAATTTATTCTGCATCAGTTGACTCTTTTTACATTATTTACTCTGGTTTTACTACTTGGAGATGCAATATTACAACAGTTTGGGAACTTATATGAAGGATAAAGTTTACAGTATGAAGGCAGTTTACAGAATTTATACAAGGGATTATGTTACAGTAATTTTGGCAGTACTGATTTCTCTCTACCTACCCACCCCAGACCTGGAGTTTTCCAAATATTTTCAATTTTAACTCATAATACTCCAGCTAGCCTGTTCTTTGAAGATTCTAGGAGTAGTACTACCACACTTGGGCTGCAGAAATCTAGCCAACCACTGGATAAATACAGTAGCCCAGATTTTTGTAGCCCTGGTGGTAGATCCATAAAAGTGTCCAATTCGAACATATTTCAAGGGCACCAAGTATTTTAAGAAGGTGCTTCAAATGCTGTCCTCCAGAATGCAATGCAAAGTTCTTATGTCATACCCTGAATCCCTTGAGGTGTCCCCAAATTTTCTCTCTGTTGGGAAGGATCCAAGAAAGCTTGATGGTAGTGCTGTTTATCATCTCAATCAGCAAATCTTCAGGGACAGCCTCAGGCACTAGGGAAAAGAGGGATCCTTTACACTTACAATTTCAGCAAGAAAGGAAGGGGAGATGAAAGTTCTACAAAGACACATGGCATTGGGTATTCTGCAAGTGCCCAGACTCCAAATCCCCAAATAAAGACCTATTGGGGAATTCCTTTATTAAGTTAGTCCCAAATGTCACAAAGTAGTAAGCAAGCTTTTTAATTGTACAATCTGCTTTATCAAGTGGGAAGCCAAGCAAAGTTGTCAAAGAAAAAATAATCAGAAATGGCATTTCCCATCCTTCTGAACAGTACAATAAAACTCTTCCCTGCCAGCGAGAGAGAGAGAAAAGTTGGAGTATCACATGAGGTGCAAAGAAATCTCTAATGTACTGTGCAATCTTAGTAATGATTACTAAGGAATCTCCCAGTGAGGTTATTATGGGAAGTAGGTTCAGCATTGGAATGTTAATTGGGTCAAGGTCTTCCAGTACTACACGAATTTCAGTTTGAACTTTTGGGGGAAGTTTTAGTGCAAACTGCTAGCTGAACAAGCAGGCAATAACCCACCCTCAATTTAGAAAAAATAAAATCCAGCAATTTCAAGGACCTGTATTTTTTATTTATGTATGACCAAGCTGACTATGATCGTGAAAGCAATAACTGAATTCTGTCATTAAAGACTTCTGTATGCCTAAAACATCCAATTATACAGGACTGTTGGGGTAAACTGTTTCTTATCTTTCTGGCAGTTTTTGCTGGGTATGGGCGAGAAGTAAATCCTGCTTCATTTCTTTTACTGAACAGTAAAACCATTCCCTATCCAACAGAGCTACTTGTCCTTGAAGGCAGCCAGTCATTATAGGAGAAAAGCCACAATAGATTATGGCAGTATTTCTCAATCTGGGCAGCTTTAAGATGCATGGACTTCAACTCCCAAAATTTCCTAGCCAGCATTGTTGGCTGGGGAATTCTGGGAATTGAAGTCCATATATCTTAAAACTGCCTAGATTGAGAATATTGAACTATGGAATTCAAAAATTAAGAGGCAGCAAAAATTTTCTGGCAGCACTTTTCAAATTAACAAGCCTGCAAGGATGCTATCAAACTTCTTCTCGTTGGACGAAGCAAGAGTAACACATTTGAATCCTATTTAGAAAATAACTCTTACATAAACAAGGGAGGTGGGGGAATCATCTTACATCTAAAAGAAGATAAAGAAGATAATCACAATCTTTTTTCTTTTTTCAAAAACAAACATTTTCAGAAATAAGGGTTTTAAAAATACCTCAGAAACGTGGGGGAAATAAAAATCTTAGATGCAGGGTGGAGAGCAAGGTTCTACTGAACTGTTTTTTAAAAAATCGGCGCTCAGCATCTAATTTGGTTTCCGGCCACAGTTGGTACTGAAATAATGTACATGTCAAGGTTCCGACTAACAGACCAAAACAAATCAGAACTCTGAGGCTTGAAGTTCCCTCAAAGAACATGTTTATTGGATACATAATATCGGCACGGTCAAAAGTGATACCAACTCTAAACTTTCCCCCCAGAAATTCAATGTAACTAAATGTAACACTTCTCTCCCCCTACTATGCTATTGCTCACGCTACCCAATGAGGGCATTTGGCGGGCTCCATGATACTTCTTCTCTCCACCTCCCAGCATCTGTGGGAATGACCTTTTGACCTAGTGATCCTTTCAGTTTCTCCCCCCCCTTCCTCCCAACTTGTTTGACAACTGAGAATGACAAAGAGGGCTTCTGCCAGGTTCGTTTCAGAAGTTGACAGTACGTTAGCTCCCTCCCCTCTCCTTTTGATACCTCCAGATGAGCTGGGATAAAACTCCCACACTTTGTAACATAGCTGTGTTTTGTTCAATATATGGGCTTAAATGGATCCCTCATTACTCACCATCCTCCCCTGAGTAACCTTTTTCAGTTTGAGGTTCAGGCCCTTTGCCAAAATCATTCTGTGCTTGCACTTTGATCTCATACGGTGAGAAGACAGGGGTATCTGTCACCAGCACAGGAGAGTCGTCAACTTCCACCTCTTCCCATTGGTCTTCATTCTCTAGCCGCCACTGTACACGATACCTCAGCTTTGGGGCATTCCACTCCTTGTGAGGCAAGGGCTGAAAAATAAGCAGGTGGAAGAGAAAGACATACAATCAACAGCAACTCTGGGTGACAGACAAGCTTCACTGAGTGGGAACCCTTTTGCAGGAACACTCTTTCCAATAATCTTTTCAAGCTGTTTTGAAACAGGCCATGAGATCACTTTCACTCCTGTATAATAATAGCAAATCAGAGCTGTACATTGGCCTCCAACAGAGGAAGGCACTGTAATCTGGTGACCTACTAATTAATTTGGATTTTTATTCTTAGCAGCTCCAGCCAGCATGGCAGAAGAATTGTGAAAAAATACTATATAAAGAGAAAGCAGAGGTTTTTCATCATCTCTTACAATTCTAGAACTCTAGTTCACTTAAAGAAGACAAAAGGTGAAAGATTTGTGACAGACTAAATAACAGGCTTTTTGCACCACAGAGTGCATGGATTCTTTTATCTTAAAAAGTAGCAGTGGCTATCAACTCAGTTACCCTTAAAAAGATATTAGAAAAATCAATAGGGGAATAAAACTATCAATGCCTATTAGCCACAATATTTTCAATATCAGAGGGAGTGAGCCTTTTGACAATAATTGCTCAGGCACACAAAAAGAAGGTTTCTATCCTACTCTTGTCCTGTCCATGGCCTTTCTGGGACAATTGAAACATTATGAGGTTAATCCTAGTATAACATGTGAAGGTGATTACTTGTTTGGGCAGCTATATTTTTTAAAGTAAATTCATGGAAGGGATAAATTAATTTACAGATAATTTACACATAACATCAGGCTGTTTAAATTATAGTGATCTTCTATATACATAAGAAAGCTATAACGAATGGATTCTGGCATCTTGTTTAGCTTAAGTAAAGCTCATTATAGCTTAGGATGAAATGTGAGTCCACCCATCCTCTTGACAGTAGCTTTCATTTAAAAGGGAAAATGGGCCATGACTTCATGGAAAGCAAGATAAGAAATATCTGCTCAGAAGGGTACGGTGTTCTCATGACCGATGCACTCAAGCAATTGCATTCAAAGTTTGCAATCATAGGGGGTCAACTGGTGCATACCAATAAATATTGCAGTTTTGCATAGCAGTGCTATTAGAAGATTTAGAAACATAAACTGACTCCATGTTGGAACTGGGATCATGGAGACAGCCTGTCATCACAGGGGGAATAGAGGAGATAAATTCAACAGTTCTTTGAAACATTTAGCTGTGCAAGAAGATAGTATAACATAGAAACATATTCAACTGAAATAGATGATAAATTTAGACCTTTTGTCTTTTAAACAAAAAGAAACCCTTAAAAAAATAACTAAAATATTACAGTTTTTTTTAATAACAAACTTAGAAATCAAAGTCCATTTTAAGGGCACAAGTTTTTTAAGAATTAGCAATGTGACCCGCCAGTTGAATGTCTGTATAGGAGAGAGAATCCATGCTGTCAAATGGAGGGCTTCGAGGTCGGTGTAATATATCCTGCTGTCTCCTTGAAAAATAAGTTTTTTCAAATAAAAAGAGAATATCCCAGTGAGAAGTCCACCTTCAGTTGTCTCTGTCATTGTGGGGTTATTAAAATGCATAGTGATAGTAGCTGGGGAAGGCAAGAATAAATCTTAGTAATGCAAAGGATGAGAGGAAACACCTATAAAAGTGATTTAATCCAGTAATCAACCGTCTGTCAATTTCTGATCATGAACTTCAGACACTGCTTGTTAGTAGAAGCAAATAGATGTAGGCTGAGCAGACGAAGAGGAGATGCAAGGCTTCAGATTAGGGCATCCATTTGTGGAATGATTATATCCTGCTTAACATGGATGGCTGGTTTTCAATATTACCAATACAACATCTCACTGAATGCATCCATTTCAGAGATTAGTGGTTAACCAAAGCAAATCTGCTAAGAAGCTACTGATATAACTGAAGAAATGGAAGTTATTTTGAAAAGTAATTTTGGGAACCTAGTAGTTTGAACATAGAAGTTTAGGGACAAGGACATTTAGCATTTAAATTAAAATATCATTTATATTATCATTTATATTATATAGGTTTTCCATTAGCAAGATATGAGTTGAAGGAAGGAAGGATGTAGCTAAGCCATTTCATAGATAATGTGGGCAGTACCTGGAGTATAGTTAGCACATTGACTGAAAGCTAAAAATGACAACTGTTTCACAAAAGGGATATTTTTCTCTTGTAGAGAAAATGTGGACTCTAGGTTTTTGACTTCTGGGCCAGAGATTATAATGAAAGGTCACCTTGTGATGAGCTTGAATCAAAATTGAAGGGATTAGAACTTGGAGGCAGACCACTGGGTTAACTCGATCCCAAAATTCAGGAGCAGATCCATAGAATGTAGAAGAAAAGTAATAAAAGGAGGGATTCTTTTTATATATGAATTAGCTGTGAGTCATGCAATCAAAGAAATGACAAACTTAAACCTTTTTTCCTTTCCTTTCCTATCCTTTCTTTTCCTTTCGGCAAAAGAAAAACTGAAGAATATTACATTTTTAATAGTTAGAAATAAAAGTCCATCATAATATTACCAGAATATTACACCAAAGAAATGTGGGTATAGAAGACAAATCTGTAGCCTTTGGACATTGTTCCTGATTGAAAATACCTTTTCCAAGCATGATTTTTATTTACAGTGCCTTCATTAACAAGACTGAGTTGAGATAAAGGTTTAGCAATTGAATTGTTATTAATACAGAACTAATTTATCACCTGACCTAAAATAGCTCAGGAAGGGGATTTACCCCATTTCTTTTTAATTGTTTTCCTCTCAAGTATTGAGAAGACAAATAGATTAATGGACAACCTTATAGCTGAGTTTACCAAATCTGATCCTGAATTTAAATCAACTTGTGATCTAGTCTTCATAAAAAAATAAGTGGGTATTTCAGATATGCAGGAAGCAGAGGCCTGGCCAGAAAGTTATTGCTGTGTTTTTTTTTTTTCATATTTCTTCTGTCCTGGTGATAGGAAAGTCAGCTTTTGTTATCTATAGTATAAAGAGGTAGGTATCACTCACAGTAGGCTAGATTACTTAGCCCATCCCATCCAAATTCCCAGGAAAGTGAATAGTATTTTAAAAATACACTCTTTGTAGTTCAGACTAGAGGTCTGAACATTCCAAAGTAGTGTCCATCTTAGTAATATGGTCTTTGATGTGAGTAAATAAAAAAACCCGAGTCTGAAGAATCATGTTGCAGCAATGGATTCCTGTCTGTCTGTTATATTTGTTCTTTGATTTCCCATCTTGTTATCACCTCTTCCTATGCTTTCCAGAATGTCCACTCTTGATTTTTCTTGTAACACTCAGAATCATGGCACCAGAAAGTTGTCAAACTGGAAATCATAAAAGGGCCTATGGTGTAGAATATAGGGAGTCCTTGACTTATGATCACAATTGAGCCCAAAATTTCCATTGCTCAGCGAGAAATTTGTTAAGTGAGGATTTTCACGCTTGTTTTTAAAAGCATACTTTCACTGTCTGTATATTAAATCCATCAATTAGGGATGTACATCTGGTGAGAACACAAAAAAGGGCCTTCTTGGTGGTGGGTCCTTCTTTATGGAACATCACTCCCCAAGAGATACAGCTGACTGTTGTTTTTCCAAAAGGCCCTAAAAAAAACTTTTGTCAGTGGGCCTGGGGACCATGAATGGAGACGGAGAGGGAGCCAATCAAGAGGCTGATTTGATTGTGTTGTTGGTGTCAATTTTTATGGGTTTTTATTATATGGTGGATTCTTTTATATTTTGTAAGCCACCTGGAGTTAACTATGTGTAAGTTGGGCAGCTACATAAGTTTGTTTAATAAATAAATAAATAAATAAATAAATAAATGGGAAATAATGGCAGTTTGCCACTTTCTTTTTGAATGTCAGCCTGATAGTTATGTCATGGCCAATTGCTTGCCATAGGTAACTACTCAACTGGCCATCCAAACAAGAGATGCGTTACTTTTCCATCTCTTGATACAACATGAGGTAAGGCAGAAATGATCAAATCTGGAAGGAAGACACAGCTCGAGAAAAGATTGAGGAAACCATGCATTGGAAGCACCACAAGTCTCCAAAACACCAGCAGGCGGAGGCACAAAGACAGAAGAGATGGGAACAAGGAAAAAAGCAAATATCTTATAATAAGGTGTTTTGTTGCAAATTTTCTTCAGAGGTCATCCATCTAATGCCTAATGCAAAGTTAAAGTTCACCTGTTACACTTCTCAAATGTAAATATCACTTGTAAGCAAGGATTACTTTTTGTCTTCTCCTTAGCAACAAATAAGCAAACAAAACCTTTTTTAAAGTGATTAAACCAGCTTTATGCTCTTAATTCTACTAGGAAATTCTAAAAAATCTTAGGATTTTTTTTCATTAAATTCTTCTGTTCATTTCACCTTCTCCAAATAAGAGCATGATATGCCTAACGCTTCTTGATTATAAAGCTAATTTTATTATCCCAATTTTTCTCTGAGTCAAAGCACTTCTAGGAATCCTAATGGCATCAACAAAGAAGGGGATTTCCATAACCAACTCCCCCTTTTTCCATGAAGAGAAAGACATTTCTAATTCAGGAGACAAAAAGCAACTGGCATCTTTGAAATGTGTGGGATTTTACATGGCATCTTCCTCTAGGCGCTACAAATGAACCATGCGAAGCAACCAGTGCCGGGCCAGCTGTAGCAGGAATAGCAGCTGAATTTGGTAGAAACCTCTCTGAAATGAAGCATCTGGCATCAGTTCCTTCCTGGGAATTCAGCCAAAATAACCTATCATTATGACAAGCGTGACAATTCAGGGACAATACTGGAAGAGAAGCACACTGGTATGCTGCCACCTATTTCTGCTGGAACACAAACAACACAGCAAACCCAAACAGAGTTAAGAGACTAAAATGGACAATTGGGGTGTGGGGGCATACACTGCTTCAACACAAACATGACTTCCAGACCTTGCAACACACACGTTTTTTGTCACTGTCACACATAATAACCCAAGAAAGGAAGATTCACCGTGAAGTAGCCCATATGATTTTGAACGGCACAGGAAGCCAGCAAAGCAATAGCAATTTAACAAATTTGCACATAAGCAACTTCTCTGCATTGCTGTAAACTGCCTTAAGTGCTTACAGATGCCTAACGGCAAAGTACATGATTAATAATAAATAAATAAACCACAAAAGGTAATGTGGATGTGATAAACATATAGCATCAAGAGCTTGATGATACAGAATGGTCTTTGCTTCCCATTTAATATCAAATTAGGTAGAAACAAATCACACTTTCTCAGGAGGAAATGGCACAGTCAAGAAACTATTATTAAAAAGCTCTTGCATACTCATCCGCTTGATCTCTGGAGGGCAGGATGTAAACAAAAACAGCTAAGGTTTCTCATGAAATTTGGTCATATTTAGATAACTGTGTGAACTGTAAAATGGAGGTACACTTCCACCCCAAAGACACATCAGGGTGCAACTGTTTTCAGAACACTGCAAAATTCGGGGAGTTGAACAGGATGAGTGCAGCTGGATTTGAAAAATGCTGATCACCTTGAAGGCAGCAGTGGTACCCATCCTCCGAAGTTGCCATCCTTCAGTCTCACCATATGGGACAGTTCCAGTCCAATCTGCTCCAGGGATAGAATAAAGAGGCTTGCAAAAACCAAATGTAGATCTCTACTCATGTACACGTAGTCCTCGACTTATAACTACAATTGGGACCAGGATTTCCATTGCTAAGCAAGGCAGTTCTTAAGTGAGTCACGGCCAATTTTAAAGCCTTTTTTGCCACAGTTGTTGAGTGAATAACTGAAGTGAATCATGTGATTGTTAAGAGAATCCAGTTCATCCCATTGGCTCTGTTCTTGGAAGATGACAGGGAAGGCTGCAAATAGCAGTCACAGAATCCTGAGATACTGCAGCCATCATAAATACATGCCATTTGCCAAGCACCCACATTTTGATTACATGACTGTGGGGATGCTGCGATCGCCGTAAGTGCGAGGACCAGTCATAAGTCATTTTTTTCAGTGCTGTTGTAACTTTGCTCGCTAAATGAAAGGTTGTAATTTGAGGACTACCTGTACATTTGGTTTTTGCAAGCCTCTTTATTCTATCCTTGGAGCTAACTGAACTGTAGTTTACATCCTTTGGTGGCATCTGTTTAAGCCTCCCATGTATCCGAGAACATTAAATCCATGGATTGTGTTCATGATGGTGAGCTGTATTTGTGCAGACATGCTCAAGGACCATGTGCAACAGAACAAGTCTTTCCATGAATAATAAATCCATCAACCTTGAAAAATTACCCCATCAGGTATTTTTCAGAATTTCTTTTCAGTAAAAACTCAACAACTCTAGCAACCACTCCTTGCACTACAACATAATCCTACAAATGATGCCAGTGGCAATGAATCTGTGGATGAGGAGAGATTGGGACCAATATCACTGAGGTGAATGAATCAATATTTTACCGTCCAGGTGATGATCATATTAGTGGTTTCATTTCCTTCTCCTCTGACATCAGATGGGTTTCGCTCAGGTGCTGAAAAACAAAGAGACTGGAGATATACTGGGATGTCTCTACCATGTTTCCCTGAAAATAAGACCCGATCTTATATTAATTTTTGCTCCAAAAGACGCATTAGAGTTTGTCTTCCAGTTAGGGCTTATATTCGGGGAAATACAGTACTAAATGCATCTGTCTGGCTGACGATCTTAACTGGGACTTATTTTGGGGGTGGGGCTTATATTAAAAGTGTCCTGAAAAATCATGCTAGGGCTTATTTTCCCATTGGGTCTTACTTTCGGGAAAACACAGTATGTCTTGAATCAACCAAAACCAAATGTCCATTGTGCCTCCCAGACTGAAAATGCTTGTCCCAGGGATATTAGGAGCCAATGTTTGTGGGGCAGCACTGTTTTGTGCATGGCATGGTTGTGTTAACACCTACAAGGAATATTGCCTATAGCCTTCTTCCAGCATCTTGAACCTTCTTACCTGCGGGTTCTGTGGCATGACTGGCAGACCGGCTGCTTAATTCGCTTTTCCCCTGGTCATTGCTGGCCTGTACATAGAAGTTATAACTTCTGAATGGAGAGAGGTGAAGAATAGTCCATGGCTGGTTCCCTGGGACGGTGGTTAACAATTCCATTTCTGCTGGCCCAAATTTGGTTTCTTCACAAAACACAATATATTCTGTGAAGGAGAAGGGAAACATAATCTCAGAGTTTGAACATTTTTTTAAAAAAACTCATTAAAATTGCTATTACTTTTCACTAGGCCCCTACGGCTTTCCTAGGTTCATGCTACAAGCTGAGGTAAAATGCATCTGTACATAGATGAAGCTAATTTTTGGTTTAGCATCATGTGCAAATCCAGGCACTTGGGTTCATTCAGTACCCTGACTTACTGAATAGTTTCTGTATTTCTACACATATACAGAAACAGGGAAATGTAAAAATGGCATTTTCACCAATGTGTGATTTATATCTAGCTTCAAAATTCAGAGATATCTGTAAAGAAGTACTGAATAGTCATTTTATACATCATTTTATACATCATAGACAGCTGCATCTTTTCCATCAGTCTTTTGTTAAACTATGCTAAGTTGCAAGTAGCAATATAAACAAAGAATATAAAGTTGCTGTCTAGGGTGCTTTCTAGTCACAAATATTTTCTAAGTGCTGCTATAAGAGAAAAATAGAAGCCAGGGATGACTATGATTGACCACTTGCTTCCTCACCCAAGCTTCTTCCAAGCAGAGACATCCATGGGAGGGTGTCAAATGAGAAGCAAAGGATGAAAGCAGAGCTGCAGTGTCAGCTCTGCCCCTTCCTCACCCATGTCGTGACCCTGCACGTGGATACAAAAAGGCCCAAGGTTGTGGTGCAACAGGGCTGCTTTTGTCATTTTGATGAAAGCAGCAGTCCTTGTGGATGCCTTTTCCAAGGAAAATCCATGAGTTCTGATTAATCAGGGGTCATTTCTCCTTAATGGTAAGATACTCAGCACGATTCCTTACCATTTATTTCTCTGTTGTGATTATCTCCGGGGGTCCATGTCAGCTTTACCTGATGATTCTGCTGCCTCTGCACCTCCAGATTTGATACAGGGCCAGGTTTGCCTGACCAAAAAAAAAGACTATAATGAGACAGCCACCCACCTGTCTGTCCTCACTACAGAGGAAAAATCCAAGATTTTTTCCCCCAAACAAATTTTCCAAGCCTGTGTCACAGTGTGAAAATTTGAATCCTTTCACTCCCCCTTCAGTTTCAGAATTACAACATTAATTTTTACAAATTATCCGCCATCTAAAGTAGATTGAATCTGCAGCCTTTAAAGTTGTTGGTTGATTAAATATAATTAAAATTAGCTTGTTTAAACAGAGGCTTATTTCTGAAAATTCAGAATGGTCAGTTTTCTGTACATTTGTGGCTCAAAGCCATTATTCATTGGGTTTCATTCTATATTTTTATAACACAGTAGAAACAAATTCACCTCATTAAAAAAAAAAACAGACCAATGTCTGCTTTGTCTTATGGCATTTACATTTATACTTATATAATTTATAAATTTTATTTTGCAAGTTGCCTGAACTGCGAGATGGGCAGAAAATAAATTTGATAAATATATTTTGCTATCAATGTTTAGAACTCTCCACATTTCAGTGATTAAGAGTTAATCTCCTCCCAAATAATATCCCACTAAAATTAAATAATTTACCAATCAGAACATACAGTCTTGGATTTCTGAGGGAATGCATCTAGGAAGAGAGGCCTGCCTGGAATCAACTGGAGGGAGAGCCTTTTCTTATTCAGGTAATCCTTGACTTACGACCACAATTGAACCCAAAATTTCAGTCGCTAAGTGAAACATTTGTTAAGTGAAGTTTGCCCCATTTTACAACATTTCTTGCCACAGTTGTTCAGTGAATCACTGCAGTTGTTAGGTTAGTATCATGGTTGTTAAATGAATCTGGCTTCCCCACTGATTTTGCTAGTCAGAAGGCTGCAAAAAGTGATCGCATCACTCCAGGACATAGCAACGGTCATAAATATGAGTCAGTTGCCAAGCATCTGAATTTTGATCACGTGACCATGGGGATGCTGCAATGGTCGTAAACATGAAAAATGGTCATAAGTCACTTTCAACGGGTGTTATAACTTTGAATGGTCACTAAATGAACTGTTATAAGTCAAGAACTATCTGTAATTTTTATTTTTATTTTTTAAAAAAAGAATTTAAAATGAATTAAATAATTAATAACAATAAACATTTTAAAAGAAAAAGTAAGGGAAGTAAGTAACAGTGCAATACAAAAAAGAGCCTTTTCTGTAGCTGTCTCAATGCTATGCAATTCCCTTCCCATTATGGTACAGTTTATACCTTTGTTAATTACTTCAAAACGTAATCTGAAACCTTGTTTTTGGAATTGGCATTCCTTTCTTGAAATTCATGTATATTTGGTATATCACTGTTACATAATTACTGTTATTTTTATTTATTGACAAGTTGCTTTGTTTCAATTATGTTTTTATTGTTGTAAAAGTGCTGTACTGTCGATGGCTTTGCCAGAAATATACATGGGCCAAACTGCAAAAATAGATACACAGCAAAAAGCTAGTGCTTTTTTAAAAAAAATACCAATTTACTACCCATGTGTCAAGAATATCACTGCATCCGTTTGAGATTTCCCTGGTCTGAAGTTTAACCTCAAGAGAGAAACAATCCAGATCTAATCTTTCCTTTTTTTTGGTACTTACCATACACCAAAAGATTGGCATTTTTTTCTACAGAGTCAAGGGTGGTCCAAGCCAGGCAGCTGTATGTTCCTTGATCAGAGTAGTCCACGTTGGTAACTGTCAGAGACATGTCACCAATGATGTATCTAGGGAAAGACCAACAGTCAGAGTAAAGTTAATGCAAAAGTCCTTTGAACCCTAAGCTTTTATTCAACATGATTGTGCTCTTTGAACTTACTTGTTATTGTCATCTGATTCCTCAATATCTTTTCCATTTAGGCGCCATTGGATACCACGCTTCGGAATACTCTCATCAAACAGTACTTTGCAGTAGAACATCACACTCTCACCTTGCTTCTTTTCCATGTTGACAGGTCCCTCTTCAATCTGTGTTGCTCCTGCAATAGGAATGGAATACTGCATTGTAGCCTCTCCACCCATGAAGTCTTACTGTGGGCATCTATCGTCCTCTCATACATTTATCCCACTTGGCTTTTTTTTTAAATCATTCTTCAGTATGGCTTGAATGTTTCTTAATACAACTATGACTGGCCCAAGTCATTTTCCAGCTTGAAAATCTCAGCAGCAGTCCCTCCTTTTCACCGTAAGGAAGTGAAATGTGATTCCTTCCGCTGAAAATTTGTCCTGCATTTTTCACAAAGGCTGTCTACTCAACACAGACTGAACTACAAACAAGGCAACATTTTAGCCTAGCATATGCCTTGAAAGGAGCCAGAAAAAAACATTTTCAACCAATCTGTTTGTGCTACTCTTTTATTAAGTTCACATAAAACCTAATCGTGCTTTACTCAATTGAGCTAATTTTGGGTTTGCACAATGCATTGAACCATAAAGGGTCTGTGTGGGCTGAATTCACACAATTTGGTAAGCTGAAATGTTGTTAGTTGTTAATCCATGTTTCAGTGTACTGTGTAAACAAATCATTTCACATTTGACAGCATCACAGTTCTCTAAAACATCCACTACATTTGCTCCCAAGTAAAACTGCCATCTACTTAATTTTAAATAAAAGTCTTCAGGTCACTTTCCACATGAAGAGATTATCTTTAAACCATTCTCCACACTGGAGAAAAGACAATACATCTTTAGATACAAAGAATTTATTAGCAAGCATAAATAAACACCAACTTCCCCTCATCCTCTTCCCATAAGGGACATGAATGCTCGGAAAGTCTTGCCAGATTAAAAGCTTAGTCTGGTGCCACAGGCAGATGGCCTGGCAGAACCTCATTAATGTGGGCATTGGTAGGGGGGCAAGGAGGAGACAAATGATGAATTAAGCATCACAACATTGTATTACAAGCTTTTGATATTTATTGTCATCATGTCATATGCATGTGTGTAAGGAATAGAGTATCATGACACAATGCTCATTTCACTGGATTTTACAGATGCCTCTGATGTTTTGACCAATAGTAAAAACTCTGGCACAACCTGCCACATCCACTTATGAAGTGGAATGTTGGGAAAAAAACAATTTTAGAGGATTTAGCTGAAAGCTACAGTACTTCATTTCTGGTTACTTCCTTCCTATCACATCTGTTATGGTCAACTATTTTCTCTCATATTTCTCTTTGATTTAATGCATAGTTGGAAAATCTAATCTCACCTTTGACAACTAGGCGGGCAATGATGGAGACATTGTTTTGATCATTCTCAGCCAAGCATGTGAAGTTTCCTGCGTCTTCACGTCGGACTTCCTCAAGTTTCAGGGATCCATTTGTGAATATAAAGGTTCGTTCATCTTTTAGGGCAGGGTTCATATCTTCCATAAACCTGGAAAATGAAAACAAGAAGGGGGTACGACAAATAGAGTTCTCTCTACAGTACCCTCAGTGCACTTATTTTGCAACACAATCCAGCTCTAATAATTTTTTCATATATAACACCTTTAATTGCCTTTAATTTCTTTTGTTTAAAGTGCTATTTCTTAGGCCTTTGCTATATTTTGCCTAATATTGCTTATCCCAAAAGAAAATGGAGAAATGGAATATATATGTTTGTTTGTTTTTTCCCTTGTGTAACTTCTGCAATTTCCTGAACATGCTAATAATATAATTGTGTTTTTCACTGGCCCAATTCTCTTCCTCCATTGGCTCTGGCATTTTGCCCATTAGTTTGTAGAGCTAGGCTAATAAAATCCAAAGAGGCATTTGATTTTTTCCAAGTACAAATGAAATGAGTGATACTAAGAGAATTTTGATATATAATTGGGGCCAAATAAACCAGGTCAGAGCAACTATGGACAAAATACATTGTGCTTTCTGAAAATGACACAAAACAGAAACTGTACCACTGCACTTTAGGTCTGGGTGCCCCAAATGTCTTGCAATGTAGGATCACTACTTGATTCTCCACCACAGCATACTCTATGCCATCCGGGGTCAGGATCTCTGCTGGCAACCCTGGAGTAAAGCAAAAAGGCCAATGAGTGTAAGGCAGAATACTCATCTCCTCAAGAAATCCTCCTTAGCCCTAAGTCCTGTTAACACACAGTACCACCCCAGAAGAAAGGGATTGTAAGTCAATGGAAAACAACCAGAAAAAAAAGTCTGCACTCAGCATATTCACGATAAGCATTAAACCCATGCTCTATTCTGGACACATGAGCCAGAATAGCAGGCAAGAATACTGTAAGTATTCTTCTCATTAGCTTGTTAAGTTAAACAAACCTTCACTTTGTAATATATTTCCTTCCTTCCTTTCCTTAAGTTAAAGGCTTCTGGGAAGAGCCATTGCTAAACCACTAAGATGACCACCCACTTCCTCAGTGGGGTGCTATCTCCAATGCCACATCATAGCATTAATTTGGAGGCAAAAGGGGCCTTTGTCATTGTAAGGCCTTTGTCATCAGGTCTGAGCAAAAAAGAGAAACAGACTCTGTACATAACTTATAAATACTGAATGCCATTCCCTGGAAAGGTGTCTGAACTGCAGACTTCATCCATACTCCTATCTTGCTGTAGGACAGACATGTCAAACACAAGGCCCGGGGGCCAGATGCGGCCTGTGAAGTGGTTTCATGTGGCCCGTGAAGCCATACTGGAAACAGTGAGGAAACGGCCCTCACTGCTTGGCCCTGGCCCAGGCCAGCCGGGAGCCAATGTACAATTTTGTGGTGGCCAACTATGCTGAAACGCATTCAGTCTTAGCTCCACAAGGCCCTCTAGAAACAGTGAGGAACCAGCTCCTGCCCTGTCGGCCCCACCCCCCTGGGTGCATGCTGGGGAGATGTCACCCTTTGTGAAGAATGAAGAAATGGACCATGCCTTGGCGCTTGCTCCAGTCACACCCCGTTCTGCCAGAGACCCTCAGATCTGTCCCACTCCTATCCAGGCCCCCACAGGCACCCTTGACACGAACAATGTAGAGCTGACCATGCCCACCCAGTAGGTCACACCCACTCCATCCACACCCACCAGTAGGCTTGCACCCACCTTGGCCACCACCCCCCCGAGGCAACCGCAATGTTGATGCAACCTCAATGAAATTGAGTTTGACTCCCCTGTTGTAGGAGAAAGAGCTACTGGAGCAGTGGTTCTCAACCTTTTTAATGCCGTGACCCCCAACCGGTCGTAAGTCGAGGACTACTCAACCGGTCATAAGTCGAGGACTACTCAACTGGTGCAGCACCGTTTGCAGAATGGGACTTTTGGCAGGCTCAGCAGGGCAGAGACAGCCTGGACAATTCATATTGGCTTTTGAAAGCCAATAGAATTAGACTCTATTCAAGAGAGTCTATTCTATTGGCCTTTAAAAGCCAATAGAATAAAAGAGAGTAGCACAGCTAAGGAAAAGGGGAAAAGAAAATGGCGGACTGCGTTGTTTGGCGACCCCCGTTAAATGGTCATTCGACCCCAAATGGGGTCCCGACCCACAGGTTGAGAACCACTGTACTGGAGGAATTTTAAAGTGAAAACTGAAAGTTTGGTGATATGAAAGAACAATTGGAATAGCCTTTGCTAGGTTTTTTTTATAGTAATATCTTCCTGTCCTTTGAACAGTGAGCAGCCCAATTTTGATTCAAAGTGGAGAGATGAACTTACAGACAACAAGGATGTATGCATTGGCCAGGAGACTGCCGTGCTTATTGTGGGCTTGGCACTGGATAACAGCGGTGTCATTGGGTTGCACTTCACTGAAGATTAAAGCTCCTGATTGAATCTTTCTTCTTGGATCTGGCATCACATCTGAAAAGCAGCCAAGTGTTTAGGTCCAGGGAGCTAAGGTGGTATGATAGCCTTCTGCTTTTTCTCTGCCTTTCTTCTCACCCATTCACTCACCTTTCAGAGGAGTTCCATTTATGCTCCATGACAGTTTTGGCTTAGGTTTTCCATCAACTTCGCAATCCAAGCGGACATTCTCCCCTGGTCCATAAATCTGACTCACGGGCATTTTTATCCAGTATGGAGCAGCTGAGAAAAGAAGACCGGATGAAAATAGCATCCATTAAGACAAAATTAGTTCACTACAGTGAGGAAAATGAGCTTCCCAGGTCTATTTTTATATAGACTAACACAACGCTCACTTTATAATGAGTTGTCCTCAGACTCCCTTTCTATTACCTCTCAGATTTCAATCAGGTATATAGGCAAGTAGATGCTTTGTTTTGAATCACCATGCCAACCAATAATTTGAGAGTGTGGGGGGGGGGTGTCATCACACAAAACACCTAGAGGGCAAAAGTGGCATCCCCCTTCTTTTATAAATTCTTCAAGGCAGGGAAGAACCTGCCTTCTTCTTCAACTAGGAAATTTCATCTAATTCAAAATAATTGTCATTTTAGCTTTTGGACTGAGTATGAAATGACTGAATATAAAGGGTTGTGTATTATACACATTTGCATGGCAACATCACTTTGCAAATTCTAAAAAGGTGGAGTTGACCCAGAGCTATGGGCTGCTGTTGGGGAAATTGTGTGCTGCAATAAAACACTGTGTAAAGATTTGCTAAGCTGTGGTGTGCGTAGTCCTCTGAATGCAAAAAAAAAAAAGTGTTCCTTGCTGGCAATCACTGGTTTTAAGTTTAAGCTCTAAAAGCGTGGAATATCAGGATAATAGTTGAATAATAATATTGTTTTTATTTAAAAGGAGAACAACCCAGCTGAAGTTTGGAAAATTAAAATATAAAGCATTTGCTTAAATTTTCTCCAATGAATGCAATGGAGTGCTAAGTTTGGGCTGGGTTATAGCTAGCATGACTGGTTAAGCTTAAAATTTAGGTTTTTATTCACAGTCAATATTTTAGTTATATTTTGTTTTACACCATCACATATATAGAGCACTGAGCTGCTAAGATCTGTGGGTTGGATTACCCAGCTCTTATCTTGTTGCTTTTCCACTAAAGTCATACAACCCGCCTTGCCTACCCTACAAGGTTCCATCCAAAAAAGGTGCTGGAACTCCATTCTGGGCGTTCTATAAGAAAAAAAGCCCTGTATATATTGGAAAAATGATATGGCCTCATTTAATACAGTCATACATGGATGACTAGTATAACTGGCTAAAAAAGATGGCTTTTGGGTATACAAAATTATATTAAGAAATTTTAGAAACTTCATTTTTCAAATTTTAGAAACTTCATTTTTCAAAGTAAGCAGCCTTATTTAATATTTTGCTATTAATGCAACTCCTTTCCCCTCTCCCAAAGCATTAAAAAAATGGCTGTTGCCTCTGTTTTTTTCTACTCTTCCTGCTAACATCCTAAATCACAGTATATGACATAATTACACTGTGCCTCCAGTCCACTTGATCTTCTGCACAGAACTGAATGTCATTTAGTGAGAGAAACGCAAGCTAATAATGTTACATCAAATGGCAGGCTATAGGAGTAAGCAATCTGGAGTGACATTATGTTTGTAACATCTACTAATCTCACCATAATCTTTTCTCAAAAGAGCAGTCTTGCTAGGTGCCAGTTAGACTACTCAAAATCTTTCCCATTTTTATCCTATCGGGCCCTGCTGGAGTAAAATTGTGGAAATACCCTCAACATTAACGGTATAGGTGTGGCGGATGCTGCCATGCTCATTACGAGCAATACACTGATAGTCTCCATCATCATCCTCCGTCACACTTGGAATGCAAAGAGTTTTATTGTAGTTCTCAAAGGTCACCCCAGGTGAAGGGTTCAGTCTGTTCAGGTGGATCCATTCCACCGACGGTGTAGGGCTGCAGAGAAAGGGAAGAAGAAAAGGAGCGTGTATAAAGCTGGCTTCTAACTCAGCTGAATGTTACTGATCTACGTCACTGCTTAAAATTATGTTTTTTCAGTTAAAAAAGGGCTTTACTTGAGACTATTTTTAAAACAGGAACATATACAAATTGCAGATGGGAGAATTCATCACCTTAGAAGAGGTATCTTTCTCCTGTGCATAAAGCAGGGGGGGGATACTTGCATTTTGTGAGGTTTATGGAAACTTTTTTTAAGAATGTATTTACATACATATTTATTTGTAAAAGAGTGGCCTTTATTACCTTTGAAATTAATTTTTCCTTAGAACTCACCAGATGCATCTGGATCAAGAGAATAGTATTAGTGATACCACTCAAATCAGTTAAGTCCTTTTTCCCCCAACATAGCACTTTTTGGATTTCTTGGATTCTAAAGTCCATCATCTAGATCCCTATGGGTTCATTGTCTGGGGATGACAAGAGTTCTGGTCCAACACATCTGGAAAGTGCTAGATTAGTGAGAGCTGACTCAGGACATGATTAATTATCTCATTGATTTAAATGCATTTGGGATTATTGTAATTGCAATAGCACTTAAACGTATATACCGCTTCACAGTGCTTTACAGCGCTCGCTAAGCAGTTTTACAGAATCAGCATATTGCCCCCAACAATCTGGGTCCTCATTTTACCGACCTCAGGCTGAGTCAACCTTGAGCCGGTGAGAATCGAACTGCTGAACTGCAGACAGCCAGCAGGCAGCAGAAGTAGTACTGCATTCTAACCACCGTGCCACCACGGCTGGATGAAGTAGTAGATGATTTTCAGATGATCAGCCTACCAGACACTCAGCTCCTACCATATTCATTTTATGTTCATAAGAAACCTGTGAAGTAGTTTGGCCTAGAGAAAACATGAGCTTCATAGCAAGAGCAGGGATTGGCTTGCCAACTGCCTCAGCAAGACACCAGGCTGTTTTCCCTCCTCAGTCTGCTCTTCATTGTTTGTTTGTTGTTACCTAATAGCATAGTTAATTAAACCACTACTAAAGCATGTAATCAAAGGGCATCATTCCACTTCTCTGCTGATGTTTTCCTTCTCATCATCAAACCAGCAGCTGAATGGCAGGAGGAGCTGAGTGTCCCTGGAGTAGCAGATGAACAAAATGTTTTTCTAATTACTGCTGATGTATTTTGATTTTTAAATCTCTGCTACTTGATGGGGAGCCACCCAGAGCTGGTTATAAAATGGGTGGCTATAGAAATGTTTTCAATAAATACTTCCAAGGCCACTCAAGGATGGGGAAATTTCTATGCAGTCCAAAAGAGAAAAAAAATGACTTTAGAGAATTCCATTGCCTCTCCAAACCAGCAAGGAACAAAAATGAAATCCCAAGCTGTATTTTCCCCAACAACTGGAAGTTGGAAGTCACAACCTCTTAAAACAGAGGTCCCCAACCATAAGGGCACAAGGAACCGGTTATGTGGAGAGAGGTTTTTCCACAGACCGGAGGGGCGTGGTTTTCTGTGCTGCTTGCATCCTGCGGATGGGGCTTTCCTTATTTGTGCGGACCGATTGCTGGCATCACGCAGTTTGGTACTGATCTATGGACCAGAGGTTGGGGACCCCTGCTTTAAAATATATCCATTCCCTTTCAAACACACAGGCAGATAGAGGCCTCTCCAATCTATCAGCCTGTTCACAAGAGAATAGGGATAGCATTAGGGATAGCATTAAAAACAACTACTGAAATCAAGGTGTACTCTTATCTCATTGACCATTTTTGTTATCATAACCCAAAAGATATAGCCAGCTCTCCCATTCTCATTCCCATTCCCTATTTAGTCAGTGGGGAAGCCAGATTCACTTAACAACCATGTTACTAACTTAACAACTGCAGTGATTCACTTAACAACTGTGGGAAGAAAGGTCATAGAATGGGGCCAAATTCACTTAACTGTCTTGCTCAGCAACAGAAATGTTGGGCTCAGTTGTGGTTGTAAGTCACAGACTACCTGTATTTCATCAGTTTATGGGTTTAGTGAAGCATCTTTCAGATCTATGCTAGCAATCTTTTGACTAATGTTTATTTTCATCCATTTTTCACTCAAAGTCCCTGTGGAAGGAAGCCTCTCTGGACTCGTGGCATTAGAAAGATACAGGATTGCATTGCCATATATGTTTTATTTTTGATGGCAGATATTTCCAAATACTTACAGCCCTGCTGCAATGCATTCTAGTATCAAGCGCTTTCCTAACAAGGCCACGTAGGTCTTGTGTGTGCTCTCTGGCACAACTAGAATTGGTTTCTGGTATGAGAAAGTGTTGGCTGTGGGAAGAGAGAGAAGAAAAGAGTTACTTGATATCAGAAGACCACATATGCAGATGGCCTAGGCCAGGGGTAGTCAACCTTGGCTCTTTTATGACGCGTGGACTTCAACTCCCAGAATTCCTGAGCCAGCTTAGCTGGCTCAGGAATTCTGGGAATTGAAGTCCACAAGTCATAAAAGAGCCAAGGTTGACTACCCCGGGCCTAGGCCAACACAATTGCAGAATGTTTGGCTTTTGACTGACTTTATATTCATGTTCTGAGAGTAAAGAGTATGTCATTGGCTCCACTAACTTACAGACAGTTTGACACACACTCCTTCATAAAGCCTTCCTCAATTTCAAACTTTCTAAATGAGGTTATAGCTTAGCTAGCCTTCCTTCCTTCCTTCCTTTCATATGCTGCCCATCTCACTCTGAAAAGCAACTCTAGGTGGCTTTAGCAATTCACTCGGATATTTCTCTTCCTCTTTAACTTTCACAACAGCTTGATGAGGTATACTAGACAGAGAGATAAAAGACCACCTGAGTTTCCCCAGTGAGAGCTGTGATCATGAAGACTTCAACTTAGTGTCCCCAGTTTTATTCATCAGTCTAACCACCGCACCTTATTGTCTCTGTCATTGCTAGGAACATATAAAAGGGTTCTATACATCACTTCTCTAAGTCTTCACCTTTGCTGTAGTTTCTTGCTATTTCTAGTAAATCAATTAGTTTCCGAGCATTATGTGATGATGATAAATAATAAATAATATTCTTCCATAATTCACTGCTACAAAGCTCTTCTCAGACTTTTAAACTTTGCATGAATCTACCTCTCAATTTTCATAATTTCATCCCTGGTTATATCACAAACCCTGTCTCCACTTCTTTGATTCACTTATCTTTAAGCCCCCTAGGTAGGAAGCAACAGATTTTTGCTGCCAAATATTACAGGCAGCAAGTTAAAAAAAGTTTATTACAAGTTAAAAAAAAGAAAGAAAGAAACATTCTACTTTATTCTGAATTGATCAGATGCATTTTGACTAATGTTCCTTGAAGAAGATAATGCAGGACACAGAATACAGAATAGAATTAAAGGACAGAATAACATTCTTTCAGTTACAGGAAGTCAGATCTGGTTCAATGTTACATGAAAATTCCTAATGGAAAGAGCTATTAAATAATGAAATTAATTGTCAGAAGAATTCTCCTTTGTGGATGTGTTCAATCAGAAGTTGGGCAACTATTAAATGGGGATATTTTCATTTGGGTGCCAGCATTGATCAGTGAACCAACAGCCTAGGTGAGTGCTTCCAGTTTTATGATTCAGTGGACAGCAACACTGTGCAATACTGGCCATAAGATACCAAGTGCAAAATATCAAAGAACAGTATTGGGAACCAAATGCTGTAGCATTGCTCAATTTGTTGTCCATTAGATGCTTAGACTTTAACTCCCATGGAAATCCAACACATCTGGAGGGCAACAGGTTGGGAAAAACTGAAATATTAAATCTGAACCAAATGACTGACAACCTACAGCAAAATCCATGGATAGAGCCTAATAAAGATTTCAGGCAAGAATTCATCTCATCATTTTGCAGATTTCCACAAGAACTTTACAGTTCCTATGTTAAGACCATCAATTAAGCTGGGTGGGCAGAAGATCGGGATAAAAAAAAAATGTGGTCGATATCTTCCTGCAATAGCCAGCTACTTCCTCACTCCACAACACAGAGCACCTCAACATAGGGTGTCCTGAAGACTTACTTGGGATGACTTTTAGTTCAATGGGTTCTTTCTGGATAATGAGTCGTGGACCTTGGAAATGGGCATTGCAGATATAGTCAGGTTGACTATCCGTCATCTGTACATTGGCAAAGTAGAGGTTTCCATCCTGGCCTACAGTGACTCGTTCATCTTGGGCAATGTGTTCAATCTCTGCAGAAAGAGAGGTGGGAAGGAGAAGAAGCAAATGAGACATAGCAAAGCAGAAAGAATTATCATAAGACAGCCAAATGCCAAACAACTTTGCTTCTTGGCCCAAACATCCATGAGATGAAAGAAACCAAAGTTATTCTATTCCTTCTAAGTCATAATTATCATCTTCATGTGGAGATTTTGGAGGAGGTGGTCATAGCAGAGGAACTTCATTCTTTCCTGTGTTTCAAAAATGAATTTTGACTTCCAAAACAGGTTCCAAAAACTTGGGAGTAACCAGAGTGTACATTAATCCCTGAGAGTGGAGGATTGGACCATATTTTTTCCAGTCAAACCTTCTCTTTCCAACAAGAACATGTCTCCTAAAAGTTTACAGAAAGCCTTTCCTCTTTCTTACTTTCTCATATGTTCTGGGACTCAGGTTGGCATGTAATATATTCTGAAATGATCCAGCAGCCAGTTCAAAGCAAAACACCATACGTAGTGCATTTATCTGAGTCTGTATCTTTAATCAGATTGTCTATAAGAGTTCAACGTCTTTCTTGAATGACATGATCAAAGAATTACTTGAGACCATGTATTTGCAACTCTCCCATCTTCACCTACCCTGCCCCATTTACTATCCCCATCCATCTGCCACATCCAGATTTCTTCACTTCTGTTGGGAACCTCTTGCCGTCCATCCAAAGCACTTGGCTTACTGCCAGCTCTTCTAGTTCTTTGAGAAAAGTAATCAGTCCATGTGTTCTGATCTGTCACAATCAAATTCACAGTCTTTGGAAAAGACAGTTTCTAATACTCACTGCTGTTGAGCCAGTAGATTTTAGGTGGATCGGCACTGGTGGGTGGGTTACAGGGTAAGACTGTGTGGGTCCCTTCTTCTGCTGTGATGGGTGCCACCTCCTCCTTTGGCCACTGTGGGGCATCTGGAAGGCAATGAAGCAGGAATCAAAGCAATTAGTGAATAGGAGGGGGCTGAAGGGGAATTATCACGGAGGGGGAAAAAAAGACTACTGTACATGGAGAGAAATTGACTGCATAGTCTCTGGGCTAGGTTTTTAATGTATCCAGTTATTCACTGTGCCTCAGGGAAAAATGTATTTTAACAGGTTTTTGATCATTACTCAGTGAATGGAGAGGCTTTGCCATACCCAGCCAATTAAAGCCGAAACAGTTTACCAATTCACCTGCAGTCTCAGAGAACTAGTAGTCATTTATACACGCTTGTTGAGATGCAACTTGAACCAAGGACTACTTGACTCATGCTTAATTTCTGAAATCTTTATTACTACAACATCCTCAATAGCAACAGCTATTGTTATTATTGATAGCAGGCAGATTTATTTTGAGAACTTCAGCCAAGATGAAGAATAAAGGATCACTGCAATTTTGGAACAGAGAGAGGATGTTCTTAAATCATCACTACTAGTGCTGAAAAAATACATCCTTTCTGATACCAATGAGTGTCTACTTTCCTGTATCCCTCCAGCTTTTAAATCTTTCCTTCTTCCTTGACAGACATGCAGAAAGCAAGGCCGAGCAGGAGAGAAAGAAGGCAGGAGAAGGAGAGGCTGGCAATTACATCACATGACACGATGATACCATGACAACTGTATCCATGGGAACAAGAGCAACCGCTACACTCCGGGGAGTCCAGGCAGGTAAAAGTGAAAAAGACCCAGGCATAGACATTTATTGTAAGAGGGAGGGAGAAATTTATTTCTCAAAAAAATCGGAAAGGGTGTATATATGTGTGTAGACTCCTTAAGCTGCATCATTGTGGGTCCTAAAGTAAGCTTCATCAGCAAAGCCAGAATGAGAAACGTTTGTGTGTGTGTGTGTGTGCATATGGCTGTGTGCAAGTGATACAGAGCTGGAGGAAGGCAGAGAATTGGTGGGCACACTTATAAAAGAGGGAGGGAGAAGCAGGAAGGACACCTTAGGGTAGGCAGAGAGGTACTCACTCTCAACAATGATGTGACTCTCAGAACTCACGGCTGTGCCCAATATGTTGCTGGCATAACACCGATACAGCCCATTGAACCTAGTTGGCACATTCCCATTGTTTGTATGGATGATCAGAGTCCCTGAATTTTCCAACTGTTTTATCCCTTGCACCTGTTCTGGATCAAACTGTTCTCCATCCTTGGTCCAGCGGTACCTGCCAAAAGGAAAACACATGAGAAAGGAAAGGGGGAAGGAGAAGGAAAAGGGGATGCAATCTTCCTACCGAGTTCCTGTGCTATTTTTTAATAACCTCTGACTGGCAGGTTGGTCTATTTCTATAAATAACCTTGGTTCTCGATCTGCACTAATTAAGATGGGTGCGACTGGAGAGGTGGCGGTGGAAATGCATGGTTGGGGGATTTAAAAGCAGCCAAACAATCATTCCTCTGATACACACAAGAACTGGGGTAAGGAGAGAGAGAAATCAATTAGACGAGGAGCAGAGGTCCAAGTAAGGTCAGGGACATTTCCAGCATAGAAGGGAATAATGGAGATGTTAAGAACAGAGCAGAATTTAGGAGCATTGTGCACTGTGAAATATCCAATATCGACAGTGGAAATCCCTTCCTAAAATCAGTCAGTCTCAGTGCTGTTCAGGTACTATCTTAGAAAAGTCAAATTCAAAGCTCTGAATTGCGATGAAAATTCAAGGATTTCTGCAAATAGATATACTATATGAGGGGTCCTTGGTGCTCTCTAAGCTTGCTTGTTTTCTTACAGACGTTTCATTACCCTAACTAGGCAACATCATCAGTGCTGGTCCTAGTTAGGGTAATAAAATGTCTGCAAGAAAACAAGCAAGCTCAGAGAGCACCAAGGACTCCTCATTTCAACCCTGAGCTACAAATATTCTCCTTCGTTGGTAGATATACTGTACATTATGGAGATAAGGACTATTTTTAATTTGCTTTGTTCTGACTCAAAATTGGGACTTAGGCTTGAAACAGAGGAAGATTATAGCTGGAAAAAATGGAATTCATGCAGATTTGTTCCTAGCAGAAATATTATGTCTCAGGATGTAGATTATTACTCTATTGCCATTGTTAACTTTGAAAAAACAGTGATTAAGGCACCAGGCTAGAAACCATGAGATCATGAGTTCTAGTCCTGCTTTAGACACAAAACCAACTGGATGACTTTGGGCCAGATACTCTCTCAGCCCTTGAAAGGGGGCAAGGACAAACCACTCCTGAAGAAGACCTTGCCAAGAAAACTGCTGGGTCTATTCCAAGCAGTTGCAAGGAGTCAAGATTGAGTTGAAGGTGAAAAAAAGTACACCAGCTAATTAGATACCAGTTTTTGTTCTCAATATTCTTTCTATGTATATTATCTCTATAATGCCTTTCCAAGGAAGTCTGTATTCTTAGCTCAATATAGAAATTGGATGAGTGAGGTTGACACTACACATCCATATACTCTTACACATCGAGAAAATTATAAAGAATCTACGATTACCTAGTCCATCTAAGTCACAGAAAGTCACTGGAGGATTTTAGGTCAGTCACTCTCTCTCAGGCCAACTACCTCAATTGATTGATTAATGATTGATTGATTGATTGATTGATTGATTGATTGATTATGTATCATCAATCAACCATGCTTAGTGATCATGTAGATTTTTTTTCCCAAGACAATCTGTCCCTAACTTGATTCTTCAGGTCCTCCAACAGTGCAGTCATTGCCACTGTAGCTAAGTTCATCCATCTTACTGCTGGTTATCCTCTTCTCTTTTCTTCCATCTTTCCTAGCATCCTCAAACACCAAATTGGGAGTGTCTCTCTAACAATAACATTCCACAGTATCAGCATGCAGAGGGCCTCCATTAATTAAAAAAAAAGTGTCTCCAGGCCAAACTACATTGACTTGGGAGATAAATGATTAGATCTTCTGATTTTCTTTATGATTGGAGGGGGGGAGAGGAGGGAAGGGGATGCTAAATTAAATTATGGCCATAGCACTAGGGAATGTTAGTTAACTGTTACATTCAAACTTAGCCCCAACCCAACTCCCCCCCCCCAAATAAAGCAGCTGATATTACACTCAAATACTTGCCTTGGAAAAAAGAGCAATTTTAACCAGAGAAATCAAAGAGGACTGAAACTGCTTCAGAAAAAAATAGATAAATCTATTTCCTCAGACCAATTCTTCCTTGCCTTTCCACAACATAAAAAATTGTCTATTTTTCAACAAATAAAAGCAAGGAAACATATGATATAGACAGAACTATCCTAGGATCTTAAGGAGAAAATTCCCACTAAAAGTTTTCCATTTGGAATGGAACTGGGATAAGGGAAACAATATTAAAGCTTGTCAATACTCACGTCACTGGGGGATTTCCAATAGCCTCCCATTTCAGGATAATCTCATCAGTGGGATATAAAACAATCTCCTTGTCTGGTTGTGTTGTGAATTCAGGTGGTTGTTGCACTAAGAAACAGAAAAGTAGGAAGAAAAATGAGCAATACAAAATTCTAACACACAAGGGACCACTGGTCTCATACTTAGAAGACCTCACCCTACCCAAGAATAATGTGATAGCCTCACACTGCAGACAGAGAATAAAAGTGTAGCTATTCAGATCAGCAAAGCAATCACTGTTTGGCTTCTTCTCTCCCATCCCAACCCAATCACCATTATCATCACCATCACCCATTTCATGGAAGACTCACAGTTTGTCCGGTCAACTGCGTCAGCAAGAAAACAGCAAAAGAAAAAAGAGAAGTGCTTGTTAGTGATCATTCCACCATTCCTGTGCCTCAAGAAAAACATAAATGTGCAGTTTGTGAGAGCAAGACGGAAAGGATGAAAAATGCAAAATCACAGCCAAATGAACACATTTTAAATAGGAAGCTCAAGGGTGCAAGACAGAACCCATATGTGAGATGATTAGGTGCAAGTGAGAGTGAGCGGGAAAGCCAGCTGGATGTCAGCATGCCAAACTCAGTGAATGAGACAGTTGTGTTCCTCTGCACCATTAGAGAATTCAAAGCAAGGCAGTGTGCAATTACTAAGTCTACAGAAGAACAGAGTGAGTAACAATCTGCATTTGAAAGCAGGACAGTTGAAGGAAACTCATCTGATAAAGTACAGAGTCTGGAATATTCATTGAAAGTAGAAAAATTACTTTCTCTACCTTTTGTATGACTTAGATCAGTGGTTCTCAACCTTTTTAATGCTGCGACTCCCAACCAGTCGTAAGTCGAGGACTACTGAACCAGTCGTAAGTCGAGGACTACTCAACTGGTGCAGCACTGTTTGCAGAATGGGACTTTCGGCGGGCTCAGGAGGGCAGAGACAGCCTGGACAATTCCTATTGGCTTTTGAAAGCCAATAGAATTAGACTCTATTCAAGAGAGTCTATTTTATTGGCTTTCAAAAGCCAATAGAATAAAAGGGAGTAGCACAGCTAAGGAAAAGGGGGGAAAAAATGGCGAACTGCGTTGTTTGGCGACCCCCGTGAAATGGTTGTTCAACCCCAAATGGGGTCCCGACCCACAGGTTGAGAACCACTGACTTAGATGCTAGATGGCAAGCAAGAGATGATTGACTAATGGTTGATTGTGCTGGTTCTAAAGCCCAAATCCCAGGATGAAACGAATGCATCTGTTTGTTGTTGTTGTTGTTGAGGAGAGGGTTAATTTTGTTGGTTTTGTAATATTTGTAATAATAATAATAATAATAATAGTAATAATAATAATAATGCGACGATATCTGTAATGCCATCAAACATCCACATCTGCCTATCCCAGGTCCTGGGTAAGGACTCGATAGGTAGACAAAATGCCAAATCCAGTCTGAACATCTGGCTGACTGTGCGATGATCAATAATAATAATAATAAAGTTGGAAGGGACCTTGGAGGTCATCAAGTCCAACCTCTGCTCAGGCAGCAAATCCTACACCATTTCAGACAAATGGCTGTCCAGTCTCTTCTTAAAAACTTCCAATGTTGGAGCATTCACCGCTTCTAGAGGCAGGTTGTTCCATTGGTTAATTGTTCTAACCGTCAGGGAGTTTCTCCTTAGTTCTAGGTTGCTTCTCTCCTTGATTAGTTTCCATCCGTTGCTTCTTGTCCTGCCTTCAGGCGCTTTGGAGAATAGCTTGACTCCCTCTTCTTTGTGACAGCCCCTGAGATATTGGAACACTGCTATCAAGTTCCCCCTTGTTCTTCTCTTAGTTAAACTAGACATACCCAATTTCAGCAACCGTTCCTTATATGCTTTAGCCTCCAGTCCCCTAATCATCTTTGTTGCTCTTCTCTGTACTCTTTCTAGAGTCTCAGCATCTTTTTTACATTGTGGTGACCAAAACTGGATGCAGTATTCCAAGTGTGGCCTTACCAAGGCATTGTAAAGTGGTATTAATACTTCACGTGATCTTGATTCTATCCCTCTGTTAATGCAGTCCAGCACTGTGTTGGCTTTTTTGGCAGCTGCAGCACACTGCTGGCTCATATTTAAGTGGTTGTCCACTAGGACTCCGAGATCCCTCTCACAGTTACTACTATTGAGCAAGGTTCCCCCAATACTATACCTGTACATTTGGTTTTTCTTGCCTAAATGTAGAACCTTACTTTTTTCACCACTGAATTTCATTTTGTTAGATAGCGCCCAGTGTTCAAGTCTGTCCAGCTCCTCCTGTATCTTAAGCCTGTCTTCTGGAGTGTTGGCTATTCCTGCCAGCTTGGTGTCATCTGCAAATTTGATGAGTTCCCCATCTATCCCCTCGTCCAAATCGTTGATGAAGATGTTGAAGAGCACTGGGCCCAGAACAGTGCCCTGGGGCACCCCACTACACACTTCCCTCCATGTAGATGCAGTTCCATTGAGGACCACACGCTGAGTATGGCCGGTCAGCCAGCTACGAATCCATCTGGTGGTGATGCTGTCTAACCCACATTTTTCTATCTTATCGAGTAGTAAGTTGTGATCTACTTTATCAAATGCCTTACTGAAGTCCAAGTAAATTATATCCACAGCATTCCTCTGATCCACTAATTTTGTCACTTGGTCAAAGAATGCAATAAGTTTATCTGGCATGATCTATTTTTGACAAACCCATGTTTCCTTTTCAATTTTTCATTAGTAAGAGATCTTGAAAGCAGCAAATTTGGGATGGGAAAAACTAGACTTTTACTGCCCATCTCCTCTCTTCTTTTAATTCAGATTTTCCAGTTTTTTTTAAAAAAAAACAGGAAAATATCATAGCCTGAATTCTAAGGAAAACTCCCTCACATCAGATTTTCCAACCTGATACTCTCCAGACATTTGAGTTTCAATAAAACTAATTTGGTTATGATGAGTCAGATATTGAAGCCTGACACATCTGGAAGAGGAGATCAAATTGACAAAAGGTGACCTGTGGAGATTACCTCAGACTTCTCGTTGCTTGGCAAAGTCATACCTCTTAATGTGCTATTCAGTACTTCTAAAAGAAAAGTTATTGAGCTAAGCAAACTTGTGTTCCCATCAAAAGTTACCTGAAGACTCAAACAAATGGAATGGGAATTTGTTTTGAAATGATAGGAGACACCTTTTTCTTTAGCAGACAGTTCTATTCAGAGCTTCCTTTGCTCTCTGAATTGTCAGTTGTATTCTAGAGAATACAGTCAAACAGGTGGGAGCATAGAAGGAGCTTTTTTGAAACATATGATACTATTTTGAAACTTTACAGCATTATATTGTAGCACAGAACAAAAAATGCAAACTAAAAATACAATAATAGTACAGGTATAGTATATGGACATAATTGCAGGTGGAATGGATGCATGCATATGGACATTTAGAGAAGACATGCAGGTGACTCTCCTTTATAACCGCATTCAGCTCCACAAATCTATATTTATATGTAAGATATGTTCAAAACAGGCTGTTCTATCCCACAGGAAGTACTACCACAGGTATCTTAAGTTTAGAGCAACACATTTTATATTTGGCATGCTTGTTTCAAACTGACATAGCTCCTGGTGAGATTGGAACAGTGTCTAAGCAGTGTTAGATTAGCCGACTTCAGGTTCAAAATATTTTATATTTGAAACATTTTGCACCTCTCTCTCTCTCTCTCTCTCTCTCTCTAAAATGCTTTTAATTAAGTCAGTGGATTAATCCAACTCAATATTATCTACATTGGCTATCAGTAACTCTTCCGGATATTAGGACACATCTAGATGATGCCAAGATCTAACATCAGGATATTTTGTATGCAAAGCAGGTGTGCTTTATTATAAAACCACAATCTATTCTTTTCTTTATTTCACTGGTTAATCAGCACAACGAGACAATGCACTTTACATTAAGTGCTACATTTTCATTCAATTCCCTATAAGAAAAGTTGCCTGACATTTCTAGGGACAATGAACATTAAGAACCAGCTAGCTGGACTGCCATTGGACTGGGGAGGAAAAAGTGCTGAAATGGTATCCTTAGCATCAGTGACAATGTAGAAAACAGCAGGTGAAGTTTTCACAGCAGGGAAATAAACACCATTGCTTATGAATGTCTGCAGATCACAATGCCCTTGCAGGGAACGGTTTATAACCTGAGGGTCTTGTTGTGGATAGGCTATGCGTAGAAAGACATTTCCTATGCCAGTGTGTTTTCACTTCCTTGCGGATCAAACGTGTCATGGAGGAGGCCAAACATTCAGCTAGCCTCCTCAACCCCCTTAATTTAACAAGCTGAATTGATTCTTATAGGAAGTGTTGTGTTTGGTTGAGTCAGCGACAGGTGGAAAGAAGCTCCGATCCAATTAGCGGAGGGAAAGGGTCTCCAGGGATCTCCTTGCCTACTCATCCAGACAGAATGGGAGAGAAGAAGCAAGACACACAAACACAGAGTAAGGGCGGGGTGGTGGTGGAATGGAATAGTAATAATAATAAAGAACCTAAACAGAAAGGTGAAATTTTATGAGCTTATAAGAGAAAGAGTTTGTATCCACTGTATCTCTGCTGTAAACTAAGATTTGCAAACCATAACATGATTCCAGAGGGCTGTTGGAATCAATCATTATTTAGAAATAGAAGTGATTTTGATTTGATTTCTAAAAAGTTTGGAGAATGGACCTCAAAATTACAGTATATTAATAGATACAATATAATTTGGGGGTCTTTTTGGTAATGAAATCAATAACTATTGATAAGAATCAATAGCTAAAATTAGAAATTTATTCACTTTGGGGAAGAAAATAATTTGCATACAATTTATGAAATGTAAAAAAAATAAAGTTAATACACTATAAGTTATAGTGGGACATACAATACGTCTAATAAATAGGATTATGTTGTATGTGAACTGAATTAGAGTCTGCCTATTCTAAACTATGTGTGTGTCTGTAACCTGTAGCAATACTAACAGACCCACAAGCAATTCAGTTTATGAGCTAAAGACAAAGAGTGCTGTCTCTTTCCCTTCTCAGTTAGTCATTAGATTGTTTAAAACAACTGATATAACAACAGGAGTTCACATATTCCTGAAATTGTATTTAAATATTATGGAAATTAATCTCAATTTGGCAAATTTCTCTTTTGTTCAATAGCATCATATTTTGCAATGCTTTGTTTTGTTGTGAATCCAGCACTTCGAGATTTTAGGATCTGAAATGTCAGTACAGTACAGTTTTCCTCAAAACTGGTGCCTTCTGAATGGCTGCAATAGCTAGGATTTATGGAAGATACTTATATATCGGTAACAGCACAAATCAATATCTGAGTTCTTTCATTACAACCAAACTATAATGCAATTTGTTACATTATGTGAATGTAGTTCATTGTGTGAATCTAGCCCCTAGCTTGTAAATCTTAGAAATACATACAATGTATGACTAAACAACCAAAGTCATAAAATAGGGACTGTATTTTATGGATCTGCTTATATATATATATAGCCGTATCTAGCCTTTGGTTTCATGCAAAAAGAGAACCAGTTTGGTCTAGTTATTAAGGCACCAGGCTAGAAAGCGACAAACTGTGAGTTCACCTCTCACCTTAGCCATGAAAGCTGGCTGGGTGACTTGGGGCCAGTCACTTTCTCTCATCCCAAACCAGCCCACAGGACTGTTGTTCTGGGGAAAATAGGATGAGGAAGGTCTGTTGGAGTGTTTTTTGAGGGAGGAGGCTATAGCTATCATGGGTCTTGCAATTTATTATTTACTGAGATACAACAGCAATTTAAAATCAAGAATGGACCAGAATATTTATTTCTTATTTTAGATCTGTTTATTTTTATTTTTTAATCATAATTTACCCATCATACTACTGTATTGTGGTTTCCATTAATAATGTTGGATTAAACAGTGCCCCCTCTCAACTTGATTCTTGGACAATGTCAGTAAAAATTAGCGTCTCAAAAAATGCAGCCATTAGGGCTTGTCACAAAACATTTACATAGCACAGATGGATGTCACCAAAATGCATAAAGCCTAACATCTACATATAAATGTTCTCATATGCTCAAGTCTACTTCTAAAACCTTATGCCAAGTAACTAGATTAAAAAAAATCAGGCTAACACTGTCAAGGAAAAGGCTTTTCAATATTCATACCCTTAGCACATACACAGCATACTAAAAAGCAGAGACATCACCCTGCCAACAAAAGTATGAATAGTCAAAGCCATGGTTTTCCCAGTTGCAATGTATGGCTATGAAAGTTGGACCGTAAGAAAGGCTGAGCGCAAAAGAATTGAGGCCTTTGAACTATGGTGCTGGAGAAAACTCCTGTGAGTCCCCTGGACTGCAAGGCGATCAAACCAGTCAGTCCTAGAGGAGATCAACCCTGACTGCTCTTTAGAAGGCCAGATCCTGAAGTTGAAACTCAAATACTTTGGTCACCTAATGAGAAGGAAGGACTCACTGGAGAAGGGCCTAATACTGGGAAAAATTGAGGACAAGAGAAGAAGAGGACAACAGAGAATGAGGTGGCTGGATGGAGTCACTGAAGCAGTAGGCGTCAGCTTATATGGACTCCAGAAGATGGTAGAGGACAGGAAGGCCTGGAGGAACATTGTCCATGGGGTCGTGATGGGTCGGACACGACTTCACAACTAACAACAACAACCCTTAGCACAGAGTTCCCTGACACTAAAAATCCATCAGACCGGCTTCACCTTGGTCCTTAATATCCTGTCCAAAAACATCATATTTATTCCATGAAATCTTTGTAGGAGATTGGTTTAAATCAAGAGTATGCAACACAGGGTTTGTGGACCTGCCATTTGGCTCCTATCAGACTCTCTGGCCCACTTGACTTTTTAAAGATTCCTTTGATACAACCATTATTATTTTCATGAAGCTGACTTATTACAAAATAATGCACCAGCTTCTTAGCATAAATTTTATTTAGACACACATATGTTTCTTTTCAGACTTTCACAACCTCCAGATGGTTAGATACCAACTTACACTGAATACAGATTAAAAAATCCTCCTTTTACCCATGTCTTTTTTGCATTAAATAAAAATCCAACTTTAATGCAAGCATATCTCCTGTTATCACATCCAGGGGTATAAATTATGCTTAACAGAGAAGTTGCCAAATAGGAAGGACCATTTTGTTTCACAGATCTAGACATTAAAAAAAAATTAAAGCACATCAGAGTTCTTTTTCCTCCCATTGTTCTCCTCTGCTTTAATGTACACTTTCATTAATTGAACAAGCCAGAAGAATTCATGCTTATTAGTTGTAGCACCACAAGATAAAACCTCACGAAGGCTAATCTTGAATGCTCTCCCTAGTGTTAAAAGACAATAGCTGCTTCCTGGTTTCTGTGTGTTGTCCTTGGTACTGAAAACTGGTCTGGGTTAAGAAGCTTGTTGTGAGGAACAAGCAAGAAGATTCAAAACTATCACTGAAATCAGTATGCAAAAGACAAGAAGGTAAGATTTGTAACTCCTCCTATTTTTGGCAAATTACAATAAGCATAAACTACAGCACGGGAGTGTTGTGCAGCAACTACTATTGCAATTTGATCTGGATTTCAATCTAGAATATGATTCATATTATATAAAAATATTCCATATAATATGGATTGCCTGATTATATAGCCTACAGAAAAAGTGGTCCTGAATGAATGTGGACTGAATATAAAACAAGGTCTCCAGCACCTAACAAACACGCTTAGGGTTTTTTAGTCATAGACAGAATGAATGAGTTTCGACTGCAAAACAAATATAACAAGAGCACATGGACTGAGATAGAAAGTTATAGATGTATAGCGATAGAGAAATATAAGCAATAATATTATCAAAAAGATGGGTAAGAATAAAAAAACAAAAGACAACGCATGAATCAGTGAATGAGTATGGTATAAGCAAAAAGTTTTCAAGGACAGAAAATTATGTAGTAAATGGTATTGGTATAAACTCTATCTAGCTAGTACATGTTTTGTTCTTGCATAGTAATGCTTAGCCAAAATAACTAGTGTGATGATTTTATATGTACATGTATTTAGAAGATAAAAGGGTAACTTCCACTATTAACCCTGTAGATGATTGTCTATTAAAACTGTTTGTCTCTTTTTAAATGGTATTATGACTAATCTAACTAAGTGTTGTGAAATGTCAGAAAAATGAAATTGTTTGCACACAGTAAATATCAAAGAATTTGTTAAGTGAGTCACACCCAACTTTACAATATTTTTGCTATGTTTTTTAAGCAAATTATTGCAGTTGTTAAGTGAATCGTGCAGTTGTTCAGCAAATCTGGCTTCCCGCATAGACTTTGCTTGCAAGAAGACAACTGGGAAGGTCACAAATGGCAATCATGTGATCCTGGGATGTTGCAACCATGGTAAATACATGCCAGTTGCCAGGTGCCCAAAGTTTGATTATGTTGGAATATTCATGAGCAGGAAGAGTCATGTGGTAACTCAGTCAGCCAATGTGAAGAAAGTGCTACTGAGTCTGTGCAAAAGGTATTGAGTTAGAAGCTGAATTTTCAGTCTCAGGTTTGTCTCTGTATCTCTCTGTAAGAAGTATTCATTGAGCTATGTTGCTGTAAAGAAGAATGTATGGTATTGTAAATATTTTGATATGAATATAAAAAGGTTATTTTAAATCAGCTAAATGCAGTCAACTGTGAGAGGTTCTGATTTATTTTTCACCAACAGAGAAATTAAAATTCTCTAACAGATTATGTGACCATGAGGATGCTGTGACGGTCATAACTGTGAGAACTGGTCATAAGTCACTATTACATTAGTGCTTCTGTAACTTCAAAATGGTTGTTAAACGAATGGTTGTAACTTGAGAACTACCTGTATAACCTCTCTTATTTGAGGGGAGTGTGTGTCCTGTTAGGGTGGCAGTATGAGTTGCTAACCCAAGGGGGTCCTTCTCCTAGATTTCTGATGACACTGCTTAGATGGAGATGTGGGACATTAGAAAAGTTAATATCATAAATAATAGGAAAGATAGTGGTTGGGGCTGGAGAGCAGTCTCCCTCTTAACTATGGATGAAGTCCTTGGGTAGCTTTGAGCATCTGTCAAAGTGGGGACATCCAATGTTAGCAGCGTTTTCTCTCTCTCTCTCTCTCTCTCTCTCTCTCTCTCTCTCTCTCTCTCTCTCTCTCTCTCTCTCTCTCTCTCTTTCTCCCTCCCTCCCTCCTTCCCTCCCTCCCTCTCCCTCTCCTCTCCCTCTCCCTCCCTTTTTACCTCTCAGTCCAACCTATCTCACAGAGTTGTTTGGGAATAAAATTGGTGAGACTCTTTTCTGGGTCTGTCACCTTGCGCTCTCACAAAAAGTAGCAGAATATTAATTCAATCAAGAAAACAGAGAAAAGTGCCTTAAACACAATTCTCGGTGACTCTAATAAAACATTGAAAATGAAACACTCATACACCTCTAAATCATGTATCTCCAGAACATTTCTGTACTGTTTCATCACTCCACAAATTGGTCCAGAACTAACAAAAGACAGCCAAAATGCCTCACAAACCCTCCCCCTTGTGAAAGCTATATTCAGGGAGAGTTCCCACCCTTCCCATTTTAAAACACATGCAGCAGAAAATCTTTGCTACTCACAGCCTTCGGGAAACTTGATGGATTCTGCTGGATCACAGAGAATCAGAACCAGTGGCCACAGCATCAGCAGACAGGCTGGAGTTGAGGCCATCTTCTCTGGCAACACAGGACAGGCCTCCCTTCTTCACCTGGGTAACAGTATAACCAAGAATGAGACAGCTGCATGCAAGTCCTAATGTGACTTGTGGCTGAAGAAAGAACAAGAGAAAGAGCATGCATTAGCAAAAAAAAAAAAAAAAACCAAGAGTGTAAATTGGTTTCCTTCCCCCTCCCATTAAAATGTCCTTTCCCCAAGGACTGTAGTGCAGACTGCAAAATAGACTGGAGGAAACGGGGGGGGGGAAAGCAGTGAAGCCCTGTGTTTATTTGTTTGTATCATCCTTCAATCCAACTTGTTGGAGGAGCATGCTGTGTGAAGTGGATAAGCAATTAGTGAAGCATCCTTCTTTTCACAATGACTATTAAACTAGGGGGGGGGGACACAAAGAGGGTTACAAAGAGAAATAGAATTTAGGATATCCTTAAATTAAAATAAAGGCAAAGTACACCCCAGATCGGAGAATTTGTCCTGGAATGTCTTTTCAGTATGGAAGGAAATGGGGACAGCTTCTTTTGTTCAGGGAAAGAGAATGGATCATAAGAAGGCAGAGTGGAGGGGGTGGGAATCTGGAGAACGTTTTATGAGGGTGGGTGTTGAAGGAAGAAAAAGAAAAAGAAAGGAGCTTGTGCACGGACTAATGGAAAAGAACCTAGGGTTGATGGATGGAAATAGCAGAGTAAGGAGAATAATGGGAGAGAGGAGAGAGGCAGATAAACAGAGTAATAAAATGGAGGATAAAAGAGGGGGGGGATTAAATGAGTTTTTGAACACCCTGGATATACATAAAGATGGAGAGATAAAATGGATATGCAGAAGACAAACATCAAACACAGCAGATTTCAATAAAGTTCCATTTTAGCAGCTCTGATTGTCAGCATATATTCATAACATGCTAGCCTATCCCAGCAGATATTTCTGATGACCATGAAGATTTTTTAAAAATACAAAATAGAACAAACAAGTGAGTCAATAAATGAAAGGGTTTATGTCAACGCAGAGAGTGCCAGAAAAATCCCTGTCACGATTTTGAACCTGCATCACTGTTTGAACACCCTGTCATCCACCTAGCCAGGTGCAGCCCATTACCTAGGTACGATACAGTGTTCTACTGTGAGTTTAATCAATCTTCCTCCAAATGTTACTCTCCAGATACATTATACTGTATGAAGGGAGGGAGGAATATGAAAATGCAATGAAATCCCTGTTGCAGGCATTCACTTTCAAAACATGGGGAAATGGTGGGAAAAGAGGAGGCACCAATGAAAAGAAATGCCTAAGTATAAGGCTAAATGATCAGAAAGTAACTTTTCACTGTTTCTCGTATGTTTGACTTCATTTTTCTCTTGGTAAGGCAGGGTGCCCATATGGCTGCTCCTTCATAATTAACCTGAAAAAAGACCAGTCCTGGTGGGTTTACACATGAGAAGGAAGTTCCCATATACATACTAGACTTTCCAGGAATGAACTTATTGGCTGCAATCTAATACGATTTCAGTTATCCTGTTTGCAAGACATTTAATTAGATTAAATGTGTGAACAACTAAACCCAATCAATTGTTGGGTGAGAATGGCTAAGCATAACTCTCAAAGAGTTTCCTTATAAAATAACTATTATAGGCTGCGATCAGTTGGGCTGAATTTCCTGACATAACTTTTTTTTAACTAATATTGACTACTGGTAAGTATATGGACAAATGCAGTTTTTCTGGGCAACATTTTTGGAAATGATTCCCCACAGCCTTCTTCCTAGGCTGAGAGACAGTGACTGATGACTTCTGTGCTTAAGACAATGACAATTCCCCACTCCTAGTCCAGCACCTTAACTACTAGACTAGATCAAACTATCTCTCCTTGACACCCTGATAAAGTCATCAAATCAGGCAGCTAAATTAATTTTCCTCTCTTGCAATGAACCTTCAGGGATCATTGAAAAGGAGATGGTTGGAGTATCATAGCCATAAAAGAGGCAGTGAAGATTTAGATCTAAAATCTAGCTGCTGGTACAGAAATGACATCCTAGAACAGTGGTTCTCAACCTTTCTAATGCCATGACCCCATAATACAGTTCCCCATGTTGTGGTGACCCCCAAGTGGGTGTGACCACCAATAAGAGGGAGTAGGACAGCTATGGAAAAGGAAAAAAAATGGCGGACAGAATGGTTTGGCGACCCCCGTGAAATGGTCATTTGACCCCAAATGGGGTCCCGACCCACAGGTTGAGAACCACTGTCCTAGAACAAGCCTACAATAACAGGGCTGCTCTAGCAACTTGCTTTCCCTCTTTGTAGATTTTTATTTTCTGTTGAAGGAGAAAAAAATAAAAGATATTCTAAGTAATAATGGCCTCCAAATGACCTTTGCCCGTCTGACTGGGGCGTCTGAAATCGAGCATTACTAGGACATGGGACTAAATATTTCCCCAGGGGCAACAACTGTTTGGATCAGCCAATTTATGCAATGATCACCGCTGAATTTTAACTACACACAAAGACTTTCATGCTAAAGCTCTCTTTGAGTTGAGGCATGCACATAGGCAGGGCCTGGGGGGAAGGGGTATGGTGCAAGCCAAAAAAAAAAGTCACTGTGTCCAAGTAAACATGACAGTTGTCTTAATCCCCATCTATATTTTATTCTAAGTGGGTTCTTCTCCCCCACCCTTTTTAACCACCCATAACACGACAATGTGAAATTTATATTTGAATAGTACCAGCAGCAGTTGATATAGAAACAGGGAGCTGCACAAAAAGCCTTGAGCTTTTGAACCCATTGCTGATGAAGGTGGTTACATGGGAATGGAATAAGTATTCACTGTTGCTTGAGCTCTTTTAATCTACACAAAGAATTTAAATTGTTCTATAGCAAGTCACATTTTGCCTCTGAGTAGCAACAAATTTCCAAGGCCTGGCCCTGGATATCTATTAGCTTAGCCTTCCCAAATCTTCCAGTGACTCCCATCATTCACAATTAGCACTTCCCTTAGTTGGAAGAAGGGAGTTCCAGAACAATGCATACAGAAGGTGTAATGATGGGGAAGATTGCCTTATCTGGAATGAAAACCGGGCCTAGTGTATACACAAGCTGTGTTCTGGCACTAAGAGACTGGATTCCCGGTCCTGCACTACTGCCATAGATGAAAACGAAAGCGATGAAATTCAGACCAAAAGCCAGAACACTTGCTGAATTAGGATGATTTTTGAATCAGTCCTCGAACTATCTGTGGTCCAGGAATTCCTGTTCTAGCCTAGAAATTGTTTGAGATAAATTATAGCCCTGGGCATTTAACATGATAGCAGTGTTCCAATATCTAAGGGGCAGCCACAATAGGTCAACCTATTTTCATGACAGTTAGAACCTATTTTCCAAAGCACCTGAAGGCAGGACAAGAAGCCATGGATGGAAGTTAATCAAGGAAAGAACTAACCAGAAATTTCCTGACAGTTAGAACAATTAATCAGTGGAACAACTTGCCTCCAGAAATTGTGGGTGGTCCAATACTGGAGATTTTAAAGAAGAGATTAGACAACCATTTGTCTGAAATGGAACAGGGTCTCCTGCTTGAGCAGGGGTCAGACTAGAAGATCTCCAAGGTCCCTTCCAATTCTGTTAAGGGAGGAGGAAGAATTGGTTGATTTTAAAATGTTCTGTGTCTTAGAAATATGCTACATCTTCAAGGAGCTTGGTCTGTCCTATACAACCTGCTAGCTCTGAGCAAATTTCTCTGCAGGGAATCAAGAGACTGGCCAATGCACTGAATACAGGTAGTCCTCATTTTATGACCACAATTGAGCCTAAAATTTATGTTGTTAAGTGAGACATTTGTTAAATGAATTTTGCTGCATTTGGACCGTTCTTGCCACAATTGTTAAGTGAATCACTGCAATTGTTAAGTTAGTAATGTGGTTGTTAAGTGAATCTGACTTTCTCATTGACTTTGCTTGTTACAAAAGGTGATCACACGATCCCAGGATACTGCAAATGTCATAAATATGAACCAGTTGCCAAGCATCTCAATTTTGATCAGGTGACCACGGGGTTGCTGTAATGGTTGTGAAAAACGGTCATAAGTCACTTGTGTCATTGTAACTTCGAACAGAGACTAAATCAACTGTTGTAAGTCGAGGGCTACCTGTACTTCGACTGATTCTTGTTTAAGATAATTTGTATACCTATATGAAACTGTTTATTTGCACAGTTATTGTATTTCTAATGCAAATAGCATAATTGTCCGTATCTTAGAGATTCAATATTTTTCATACTGGAAGTCCCAGAATGGAGGGGTGAAATTTCCCATTAGGAGACTAACCTTCATTTGGGAGTAGTTTTTGTTTAAAGTGAATTTCACTGCAACTGGAGATGTAGAAAGTTCTCTGAGGGAGCCTTTTCTTCTCACAATACCTTATTTGTGTTAATATTGGATCTACATGCATGTGACAGATGATTCAGTACAACTTGCAGATCGCCCTGATTTTGCTAGATGTTGCTTTATATGCCTGAAGACATAAATATGGAAGGACACTGTAATCTAGCTCTCATCCTGCCGGAATCCTAGAATCTCACAAGCTGTATCCTGAGGGGGTGTCTGTTCAATGTGTCAGGTTCAGGCTCAAAAGCATTCAGAGTGGGAAATTGCTATTTAATACCCATTTATACCTGTTCGGGATGACCTCGAATCATGCTGAGGGTCACAGCACAGCCTGGATCATCAGGTGGTCATGTTCGCAGCTTTCCTACACATATCTAGACTGCACTCTGGAATCCTTTCCAAAATTTCACACTCCACATTTCCATTGGAACAATTCAATCCTTTGTTCATCCCTTCCATTCCAGGGGCTGCTCAACTTTCCGGAAGGAAAACAAGCAGCCTTGCCCATTTCTAGTGTACATCCCTATCCATTCACCAAATTGTCATGGTGAGCACCCAATTCATTGCTAATCCTATTGTCTAATATTATCTATTATTTTCTAGCCAGTAAAGGAAACTTATACATCCCTCCCTTTAACACCTCAGAAAGGGTGAGCAAGAACAGGACATTGGTGAAAAAAAAAAAAAATCCCCTCCCTGATGCACAAAACAATGAAGACGATCAG